AGCTAATCCTAGTTTTGGTAACCCTTTGGTATAACACTGGAATCATGTGTAGTCATCAGTCCATGGTTATAGAACACTGGAAGAGCTAATCCTAGTTTTGGTAACCCTTGGGTATAACACTGGAATTATGTGTAGTCATCAGTCCATGGTGATAGTACACTGGAAGAGCTAATCGTAGCTTTGGTAACCCTTGGGTATAACACTGGAATCATGTGTAGTCATCAGTCCATGGTTATAGAACACTGGAAGAGCTAATCGTAGTTTTGGTAACCCTTGGGTATAACACTGGAATTCGTCTGCCACCCACATTTCTAGTAAAGCACATTTGAACACAGCTAAGAGATTCATCCCATTTATATTCCAAAAACTGACCTTTCTCATGGCAATTTTACTTTCAAACTCCATGGAAGAGAGGATAATTTGAAACAATCTGTCACATTTGGTTGTCTATAAAAAAAAAATGAAAAAGGAGGGAATCAATAATGCACACCAAAATAAGATCAGCCTGTTAATCTGACACCAATCTCCAAGAAAGATGCTCTCAGCAGTACATATGGCTTATGTCCCTTTTGTTCAGGGTACACAATCCTGCAACCTACATAGGTCTACTACTTTGATCTTTAACTTATATTTTCTTTTAATTCTTGAGTCCTTGAGAAAAAAAATTTAAGTCATCAGCAAGTGATTTTCTGAAAATATAACATGCTCCTATTCACAAACAGGAGATGTCAAGACAGATTGCCACCCTCTTGATAAACATTATTAACAGGAAAGTTTAAATGGTTTGAACCTGAGAGTAACAATTTAGTGTCTGTGACCAGCTGGCTGACAGTTGTCTAGAGAAGGACTGTTGTTGGTAAATTATTAGGTGGCATCTCCTAAGTGGAAGCCATCATTACAGTTAAGTGAAGGGTCAGTTATCTGTTAAGTGAAGGGTCAGTTATCTGTTAAGGGAAGGGTCAGTTATCTGTTAAGGGAAGGGTCAGTTATCTGTTAAGTGAAGGGTCAGTTATCTGTTAAGTGAAGGGTCAGTTATCTGTTAAGGGAAGGGTTGATTGACTCTCTGTTGAGTGCTATAAGTCTGGTGCATGAGAACAGATCAGTTAGTTCTCTCTCCATAATGTTATTTGCCATGAGACTCGGTAAAGGAATGCATTTCAGATCAACTACACACCAACCGCAATCATTTTCAGAACCTTCCCTCACCTTAGACAATAATTCATAACAAAAGTAGCAAGAAAATGTGAACATCACCTTGCGACCAAACTTGGGTTTCTTTGGAGACGGTTCAACAACCGTCAGGATACTTAGCAGGCATGGATGAAGAGAACGCACCAGGAAGGGGTCACTGGTATAAATGTGACGTTGAGATGCCTACAGGTAATTAGCTCATAAATTTCATATATAAACAATGGCCTCTATTTGGGCAAAAATAATTATGCATGGACATTGGTCTGTGGACATTATCTGATCCAAGATGTGAACAAATTTCTAAGTGCAAAGCTCTAGGAAAACTGTGAGTTTCCAGGAACAGATAATGTCCAAGGAAAAATATACAGCATTATTTTGCACAAGATAAAGGCTATTTAATAGTGTTTTATCATGCTTCAAATAATTTTGCAATGCCTAAGAAAAATTTTTTATGAACAGCTTACTGTTTTCTGCATGAGATGTTTTATTTTGGGTGCTCTCTGGTACAAATTTATGAACAAACAAATATTCCCTTCTTCTGTTACAATGGTTCCAATAAGACACTCTCTTGTCTTGAAATTAATTTTAAAAGAAGACTTATCTCAGTGGACATAAGGTTTGAAAATTGGGGAATATCAATCGACTGATATATATCCTCCCCAGTTTAAGCTAGAGAGTATTTGGTCATTTGATGCATTTCAACCAGTTGCAAGCAAAAATAATTGATGGATCATAATACTCAATAGTGTTGGTACCCTTTACCTCACAAGTTCATTCAGCCCTAAAAAAAACATCAAAAGGTGTTCTTCAGTATATTTTTGCTGCTCAAGCGATTTTTGTAAATATTGTCCTCAAGACTCATCATAGAATTAAGACCTGAGTCCTCTTCCAATTTCCACCATAAAACAAAGAACTAAATTTATTGAGCTGGATTTAGGAGTTTGAGGAATTACCTCAAAAAGAACATCAGCTCTTCCATACCACTGCAATTCAGCTGAATTCTAAAATGAAAAAGAATAAGAAATACTTAGAGCATACCAGAATGTTTGACAGAGAAGCTTATACATTTGCATAATATTCGTACATACAAGGTATTAAAACATTTATAAACTATTTTACAAGTGAAAACAAACTGCTTCACATACCATGTTATCAATGATGTGTTTTAAACACTTAAACCCCAGTGTTTTGTTCTCAGTCTGTTTAATAGTGGAAGAATAAACACTTTAGTCACATGAACACTCTATTAGCCTAAATTTTAAACCCAATGTTTGCTGGCTTTTTCAAAATGTTACTAAAAAAGATCCACAACAAGCATTAAAATATCCACCATGGACACTTCTGAATCAGTAACCTAATTTTGACAGAAATATCACAGATAAATAAGAAAAATAATCTATGCCATTGGAATCTGGTTCGATCAAAGCTTGGAGAATTTCACCATAAATGTTGTACCTCATAATCATCAATGAGAAGTAACAAAGGAGACATCAGCTTGGCAAAGTGTTCTCCCACATAAGGATGCTAAAGACAACAAAGAGTGTACAGGTTACAAAAAAAAAATGCTTAATGCTGTGCCTCACCCACTGGGCTCTCAAGAGTGATTACTGAAAAAATTATCTCAATTCTTTTCGTACATTGCAATCAAATAGGTGACATGACATGAGAAAATTTAAACTTCAGAATATTGTTTAGATGAAGTCCCAAACTCTCATCATTACCAGCAAAGAAATGTATGGTGATTGGTTAAAAGAATTTGCTTCTAGAACATCAGAGTTACAGGGTTTAATCCTCTGCATTCTAACTGACAAAATGTTAATATTACTTAATGTCCATTGACTCCTAAATCAATTTATTTCATTCTGGTCTCAATTGTTTGCTTCCTTCTCTTAACCTTATGTTTGTCAAATAGAATTACAGATATACTGTGAAAAAAATGGTTAATATACCCCTTAAATTTGCAAAAGTTTCAACTGATGCTTAGAATATTGTTCTTATCAATTCCAATAACTTTCACTGATGATTTTTGTAAGGATGCATAAAACCCAGAAATGATCAACTCAGTCCTTGTACTGGCAGGGCTTAGATATATACAAATGAATAAAGGCTGATAGTTTCTAAAGAAACTGTTTGGGGCTTCATCGGTGGGGGTAACGAAATAATTTGAAGATATCAACAAAGTTGAAATGGTAAATTGGCCACCGTTATGATTATAAAAGCTGACGTTTCAAGCGTTAGTCCTTCGTCGGAGCAAAGCGTTAGCCCTTCCCCTATTCACTCTGATGAAGGGATAACGCTCGAAACGTCAGCTTTTATAATCGTAACAGTGGCCAATTTACCATAATTTCAACTTTGTTGATATATTCAAATTATTAGATATATACACCCTACTTTCAAAGAGCTGATATACATACAGCTATCAGCTACACTCTTATAACAGTTTATTAATGAGTTACAAAGTCTCTCTATATAAATATCTTAATCAAAGAGGACATGATTAACAAATAGACAGTGGTTCAGTGTGCTTCATACTCTTATCTACAACAACATTCATCATCACAGTCAGTGTGGTCAGAATATTGTGGACTCAAAAGGCGCCGCAACAAATTTGGACCACTGTGATAATGAATATTATTGTCGATAAGAATACAGAACATGCTAAACCACTCTTGATTTGTTTTCATGTTAAATAAAACCATTCTTTTAGTTTATGACACATTGCATGACATGATGACATGAGTGGCATTGTCTGTATTCTTATTGACAACAGTTTATTGGCCAATCAGACCAGGACGTGACTACCAATTAAGGTACAAAATAATATTTATCACCATTAAATTGATATCAGCAAAATGTAGACAGAATGAGGTATTACTTTTCCTCTATCAGCAGTTTACCTTAGTTTGTAGGGTGCACCACACAAGCCCTTGGCAAGCAAGAGGAAATTTCTTCCAGTTATCTTTAAGGAAGTGAGGTGTCAAGTAATCAAGGATATGTCTGAACAGCCCTGATGGGAACAAACTGTTGGGTGACGGATTCTCCTCTACTCTATTGGATACACCAGGTACAACCTCAAGACAGCCACAGAGAAGATCTTGTATGGATGAACAGTGGCAGTTGGTGCACATCATGGAAACCAGCTCTGAAACAAAATGGCTAATTACAATTTTGGATTGAGACATTTTGAGTAGAGCTCTCAAAGGTCAAAGGTTTCAACAATTTCTTTTTTAATAGGTAAAAATTAAGATATTTCTAATGAGCAAAGAATTTTTTTCAATTAATTAAAATGAGGAAGTTAGCAGAACGATGATCATTATAATATATATTCTAAGAAAGCCATAACACAGTAACTCAAAATGCTGACACAAAAATGAAGTTACTGAACAAAACGTTAAGTATCTGTGTTTCATTTTATTTTCTTAGGTAAAAGTTTTGAGGAATTACAGATATGTCTTATGAAATTAGCATGTAAAAATCCAGGAAACAGGATATTCTAAACAGATCGTGAGACAGTGTAAACATACCATGAGCAAGGGCTTCTGATGCTGCACTTGTCCAGAGATGTGACTCCATGTGTACAGCACATAAAGCCACCAGGCAGACACAAGTCTTTTTCAAAACAAACCTCTTAAACACCTGCAATGTCATAATAAAAATATCATACATTCATGACCTGGTTTTTCTATGAACTTTGAGTAGTTTGTGTGTGTTTATGCTTAAATAACCACTGAGATGTTCAGCACAAACATAACGATATTTAATCAACATGCAAGACGATACCCGACTACAGAATAACTCCTTTTCTTTTAGACCATGTGTGCATTCCGAACATTGTGTTTGACAGCTGTCAGAAACACTACAGTTTGATTTCTTTTCCTTTCAGTTCCCAGTAAAATACCATAGGTCTAAAACAAAATATGTCACATATCAAACCAGCTGGAAATCTTAACCTGAAATAATTTTATATTGATACATTCATATAACTGCTAAAAAAATTGTATGACTATTTATTAGTTATTAATGACTCAATATTAAATAGAAGTTGACAACTCACAGCATCCACTGTGAGCTCTGTCCCCACTGGCACTTGGTTATCCTTGTTTAACAGTGTAGACAACAACAATTGGCAAATATTCAAAACAGCAGAGGCCTGGGTCTTGTGTTTCTGCATCTCTTCTTTGTCCCAGTCTGAACGAAAGAAGTCAGTGTCAAATAGATGTTGCTCAGGTGCCAATTTGGTGATTGTTCAAACTCTTTTGACTTTCAAATAAGAAACTTACTGAATAAAGTTCACCTGATAATCTGACTAATACTCTAGCAATAAACTAAGCAAGAAAATTGACCAAGAAATTCAAGGGTACAAGTATTTTTCGGAATAACTTTGTTAATAAGTGATACCTGCCAGCAGATTTCAATTCCAAAGAGGCTGCGGTCCCAGACCTTTCTTTACTCTAAGAATATCACACTATTTTTCGTAGTTGTGACAATCTTACCCCCCTCATCTGCGATAGTTGGTTCTGCGCATTGAACCAAATTCTCGATAATTGCAGCAATTTCCTCTCTGTCATGAGATTTTTCATCCTGATTTTCACACGACTTCGAATATCCCTGGCTATCCAACCAGTCATTGTACCGTCTTTCCAGAAGCAACTCCAAGTTACCCTGAAAAAAAAAAAACCTGAATTTTGACTGGTTCAATCCTCGCATAACTGCACCCCCTGGTAAACATCAGTAAATGAAAAAAATTAACAAAATCTCAATGATAAATCTGATATTTAAGTCGCTGTACCGCACACATCGACGTAAAGGCTCTCCGTCTGGTGCGTTGTTTTCAAACAATTATTCATAATTGAAAAACTGATGAATCATTAATTCATAATATTTAAATTCCAATCAAAATTATGACCTCTACCTTCTTCAGCAGTCTTCTAACTTCTATAAATGCGTTTTCTGGCAAAAATGTTTGCAAGGTTTGAGAAACCTGTAGCATTTCGTCCGCCATGTTATTTATTGTAAGGCTCGGTTGCCAAGCAGTTTGTTTTCCCTGTGTAGAGAGAGGAAGGGATCGAAGAGAACATACTGAAAATTAATGCAAAATTTTCACGGGCAAATCGCAAATGAAAAAGCTGACAAGAAAAAATCAAAATTCTATTAACTGCAACAAATCTGAAGTAAATAAAATGCATGAGAGCATCAAATATGTTCTTTCAATAAATTTCTGTTTCTTGAGTCCTCAACCCTGCCCCCCCTCCATCTCAAATTGTCATTCGACCAAACGGCAATATGGCGGTGACTTTGGTGAAACTGGCTGGAAAGTTAACCATTGGCGGATTTGCATTGTATGGATTGTCAGAAGTGTTAAGTTCACAAGACAACACAATAAAACAGCTATCGATGCTTGACAGTAAAACTCGTGAAAATATTCCCGTTACTTTACCTGAGGTAAGTCCCCGAAACAAATGATTATTATCGCCACGATTATATTTGTACAACATGCACTCAGCACTGATACAAAATTTTTATATCAGCGAGGGCATGTTGTAAGCAAACGTAGTGCTGAAAACGTTGATTGATCTCTTTCCCCTGTATCCCCTTTTATTTTATTCCATTTTTTCGAATTATATCCAATTTTTCTCTTTTTGTATCTTTATTTCTTCCCTTGCAGTAGAGTGCTCGATGCGTTGGCAGATCGAGCGTGTTATAATCTGAAGATAGAACTAATCCACAAGACATAACTTTTTCTTTAACACTGAGTTTCACGCTTACGTGATCCTTAGACAGATTTTAATTAAAGAGATTAAAATGTCTGAAACTCAGAATTAGAGAAAAAGTTATGTCTTATTGATTAGTTCAATCTTCAGATATTACGTATATTTCTACAAATCTTGGCTATAATCTATCCTTGCAGTAGAGTGCTCAATGCGTTCACAGAGCGTGGTATACCTGAAGATAGAACTAATCAACAGGACGTAACTTTTTCGGTGACTCTTGAGTTTCACGCGATTATCAGACAGATTTTAATGAAGAGTATACCTCACTTAATAAGTATATACAGTCAGTGTGATGGGCAATTAACGAATCTATTGAAATCATGGAACAGTGTTCATTAGGGAGTATTTGTACTGATGGCAGCATTTGGAAATTAATTCAGTTCTTTTGTTGAGGTTACTTGCTTTGTCGGTGTAGTGTCTAAAAATGAAGAAGTATGCCACAAAAGGCAGCCACGAAGGCGAACAACAACAGTACACACAGTACACGTTTCTTTAATAATCTTCCCGCGCTCACACTTTCCCGGATGTATACTTTTACATAAACAACCGCTGTCCTAGTATACTACAGTCGGCTTCAATAATGTGGAATTTTTCAGTCAGGCAAAGGCTGCATCATTTGGAAATGTTGTTGTAGATGCTTGCTGAAGAGATGATAGACCATCTTATCTTGTAGTTTTCCTTGTTTTCATTGAGTTTTCAGATGCATTTTGCTAACCACACCAAACTAGCAATCATTCAAATACAGCCCAGGTACCCTCTGCCTAAGAATATTCAAAATACATTAGCTCTTTGGATTCCTTTAAAAAGCAAATTAAGAGTTTTGCTTTTTATAAGTTTTTAGAGAGAGAGTTGTCATTACCATGCAAATCTTTTATTATATGTTTTAATTTGTCATTAGATTTTACACATATTTAACATTACCCTTTATTCACAAAATTCTTAATAGTACTTAAACTGCATTTTGTTTTTTTAAACACATCTCATTGTTAGTAATGGCATGTTTCTGAAAAACCATTAGTGGACATAACCAATAAATTTATGGTTAGTGTTAAGAGCAAATTACCTTAGTGAGTGTGCATTATACAAGCATGGAATTAGATCTAGTGGTGAAGAATGCTAAGTACTCAAATACAAAACTATTAAAAAAAGTGTTATGCATCGAAAGTTTGTATGTTTAAATTGGAAAAGTCATTCTAGGGTAGACAGACTGGGTCTGCTGTTGAAAACCACAACATTTTCATGTGCAATCATTTTTCTCTAAACCAGTGTATAAAAACCATTTCCTGAATGTTGTGACAATTGCATTTTTCCCACTGTAAAGCCACGTGAAATTAACAAATTATCTAGCTGCAGTGGTTTACAGGTTTATTTTAGGATTCATCTTTTAATTCATCTTAAATAAAGATAACCTGTGGATATTTGCTATGTTTACAGCTTCCAACTACCACAAAAGTAAGACATTCTTGGAATACAGGAGTGCAGAGAGTTTTTGGGGGACTGGAGCAAGCACCAGAGGCAGCATGGGTGTTGGGCAAAAAGGGAATTTCTAGTGCAAAAGATTTCATTAACAAACGAATGAAATAAGGGTTGAATATCTGCTCTTTGTTGTCACAAGTTATGATGCTCACAAGAAATGAAGCATAGTGGTCAACCCAAAAGACCTTGGAGATGTTGACTTGACGTTTTCTATGTCCAACTAAAACTACAAAATTCTTTCACTTTAATTGATTTATTTAATTAAAGTTTGTGTAGTATGTCCCATGCAAACTTCTGTAGTAGCTTGTGTAAACTGTCTTGTTGTGTGATTCTCCTTTGACCGAAGGTGAGGTTTGATTCTTTCACTATTAAAAGACTCAAGTGCAGTGTACTCCACATTATTGTTAAGTTTAATGGAGAATATCTGACTGCTATACTTATTATTGAAAGAGTGCATGATAAGCAATTTTCCTGTCTTCCAGTTTTTGTTTGTATTTCAAACACTTCTGTACAGACATTTTTAACCTTGGGTCGACAACCTGATCTGATGGGAAATGCTGCTGGGTTTGGGATGATGAACCTCACCCACTGAATACCGCACCTTCAAAATCCCTCCTGACCATCTGAATTGGATATATGTTTATCCTTTCTGAAGAGATGGCGATGAAGCAGATTTTTGAACAAACACTGATTTTAATTACGTTTTAAGTTTGTCAAACTACAAAGGAAAGAAAATATATACATTACAATATTTTACAGATACAACTAACTACAGGAATTACAAAAGTTACAAGAAAATCACTAAAACTACTTACAATTCTGGTTGCCTTCTCTTCTGACTTTTTGAAGCGAGGCACGTATCTACTTTTAAGAAGTCCCAACTTTTACGTCAGAAGATGTAAAATATGTGCATTATGCAAAACACCATACCCCCTTACTATTCCCCCACCTTACACCATCATCTCCTACCAGTTTTCTTTTAAAATCTTAATTGTCAAAGCTATGAAATAAATTTTCGGTTGCTTGATTTGATTTATATTATGCACAACATATTTCCACCTGTTCAGCTTGCAAGGCATGTTGTAGCACTTTTGATTCATCGTTAAATTGAAAATATTTTAATGTGAAAGTGTAGTGTGATCATCTGGGTGAGTGTGGTCCTGAGAGGGACTGTTGGTGGTGTTGGTGACTGATGTTTTGACAACCTGTGCAGAAATCATCATCAGAGTCAAGTGAATAGTTCTTGTCAGTAGAATGTTCTTAGTCCAGTTCATGTAAAATGATTGTTCAGTTTTGCCATGATGCTATTAAAGCCTGGAAAACTGAGGGCTTTAAAAGGATTTGAATCTTTGAACAGGCCAGTCCTGTGCAATGCTCTGGGTTATACTAACCTCTCATGTTCCTGTTTTAGAGAAGAAATGATTCATGAATTTTGACTGCAGCAATCTTACATATGTGCAGCATTTGGGAAACTTTTGAATGACCATACCAAAAATTTTGGCATTCCAGTCATAGAGATTTAGCAGGGTGCACAGGGTTAGGAACAAAGTAGTTAAATAGGAATGGGAAGGAGTGACTCTTGGGAACAGGGGTAAGGTCAATGAAAAGAATAAAAAGGAAACTTTGACATTGGAAGAAAGAAAAATGTCATTCTATTCTGATTCTTACCTTTGTACAAATCATGTTTAGTTTTAATATAATTATGAACAATATAAACATTTCTGAAACCCCTGGTTTTATTCAGTGTTTCACTGATGAAGTTAATCCCCAGAGGGAGTTGAAGAGTATCCCAGGGGTTTAGATCTACCAACAACTTGAGTGAACCTTGGCCTCTTCTTCAGTTTGTCCTCTGAACTTAGGAATTTTTGAGCATCGGGTGACCTTAAATGAAGATATTTGAATGCATTCAACTACAGTCAAAGATTTTTAGGTATTTCCTCGTTTGACAATTACTTATTAACCCAAAGCTTGTTGCATTAGGAGGAACGACAAACCCTATCTTTTCCTCTGGACTCGCACTAAGGACTGACAAGGTACTGCATTATGTTCTCTTTAGAAATTAAAGCTAATTACTGAGAATGAGTACTTTCCAACATTACCCTCAAATAGAAAGTTGGATATATTCAATATGTTCAGAGCGAAAAAATAACTTCACTAGCTAACACTTGTGGCTTCGGCTGATCACTGTTAGCAATTTCACTGCTAAAAAAAAACCTTCCTTGTAGCTTCCTTGGGATCCTTTATCTCATGCAAACAAAATAATTATGATTATATGAAATGTCCACTAAAAGAATTCTCCAATAATATTTATTTTCTCCAGTCATTAAGTCTCTCATAATCCTAGCACAACTTACATCTTGATGCGGCTGATGGTGTCTGCCATCTCTTTTGTACTCTTATGACTCTTTCCTAAGGTTGCACTCAGCATATTGTATGCCTAAAAGGTAAACACATTCATTAAAATAACACTCAATATCAATTATGAGGGTTTTTATCATGCCATATCCTATAGTCCATGGTGCTTTACAACACTATGTGGGAGACCAGGCTGCATTGAGCAGTTTACAATTCTTGAAGGACATTTTTGCACATTCCCCTTGTATCAGATTCAAGGCTGGACCACAACAATGGTAACTATATTCCTTACTCTTTGCAATAAGGGTGTGGGTTCTTTAATGTCCCCCTGCTAACCAGTACAGAGGGAATGCAGGAGACAGGGCCTATGGTTTTTTTGTCCTTATCTGAGAAGACTAGAATGTCTAACCAATTGCAGATGTCATGGCAAAGGCAGCACACTCTTCTCGGTTGTTTTTAAGACAACAACTGTTGGTCCAGTCCAGGGCTTGAACCCTCCATCTCCGAGATGCTCTACAACTTGAGCTAACCAGGCAGATGATGAAGAGTATCATGTCCATGGCTGTAATACCGGAGAATAGTTGACAAAAAGGCAAATAATGATATAATTAACTATCCTATCCTTGTGCCATAAAAAGACTTGGTGTTACCTTAGTGAGCCATTTCAGAGCCTGCTGAGTGCGTCCTTGTTTCAGTCTTACACTACCCATCATCTGGTAGGAAGCAGCAGCCTGCTCACTTGGGTCACCATACACCACTGTCTTAGCTTCTGCCACTGACTTCTGAAGCAACACTGCCTCCTCAAGATTTCCATCACGAATTAACAAACGACTGAGCTCATCCTAAATTTAAATAAATATGGAAACTTAAAATGAAAGTCGAAAAATGTTCCAAAAAGAATTTGTTGCAAAGCATTTTACTTTTGCGCATCAGTTCAAGGACAAGAATAACTGATTACGTATATGAGCACGATCCTTCGCAGTAAAGCACTATTTGAGCAATAGTGAAAATCAGACCTGAAAAAAATTTTCAGGCCTGTACGGGATTCGAACCACTGACCTCTGCGATACTAGTGCAGCGCTCTACCAATTGAGCTAACAAGCCAACTGGGAGCAGGCCATCAAATTAATTCGATATAAACCCGTAGATGATAAATCAAATCCAGTTGGCTTGTTAGCTCAATTGGTAGAGCGCTGCACTAGTATCGCAGAGGTCAGTGGTTTGAATCCCGTACAGGCCTGAAAATTTTTTTCAGGTCTGATTTTCACTATTGCTCAAATAGTGCTTTACTGCGAAGGATCGTGCTCATATACGTCTCATAACCGCAGTTCACACATATGTTTCATATGTTTGTTGTTGTTTGATTTATCATCTACGGGTTTATATCGAATTAATTTGATGGCCTGCTCCCAGTTGGCTTGTTAGCTCAATTGGTAGAGCGCTGCACTAGTATCGCAGAGGTCAGTGGTTCGAATCCCGTACAGGCCTGAAAATTTTTTTCAGGTCTGATTTTCACTATTGCTCAAATAGTGCTTTACTGCGAAGGATCGTGCTCATATACGTCTCATAACCGCAGTTCACACATATGTTTCATATGTTTGTTGTTGTTTGAATTATCATCTACGGGTTTATATCGAATTAATTTGATGGCCTGCTCCCAGTTGGCTTGTTAGCTCAATTGGTAGAGCGCTGCACTAGTATCCCAGAGGTCAGTGGTTGGAATCCGGTACAGGCCTGAAAATTTTTTTCAGGTCTGATTTTCACTATTGCTCAAATAGTGCTTTACTGCGAAGGATCGTGCTCATATACGTCTCATAACCGCAGTTCACACATATGTTTCATATGTTTGTTGTTGTTTGCAATAACTGATTAATTCAAAGAAATTTAAGGACCTGCCATCTGTGCTGGCTAAACAAATAAAAACCAGGTTAAGCTGTTGGTTATAATTGTATTGTTGCAATATTCTCACTTCTCTTTCAAGAAAATAAGGATTTTCTTCAAGTGACAACTTGATGACAATTGTTACAAAATTATAGTTTTCTTTGTCCTTTCATTGGTAAACAGCCAGTATTACAAGAGCTAAATGACATGAAAAACAATGATGAAGTTGCTGACCTTGGGATGTTTTAGATCAAAGACAGCATGAAATTTTGGACTTGAAATATACAAGAAAAGACTAGAAAAATAATGCTCATGCAAAACCTAAATATAACCAACTAAGTACTACTTAAGCACTGCCAATCTGTCACATGTTCTGGAAAGTCAATGAAGCCCATTACTTCTGGGGTACCGTAAGGAACAGTGCTTGGCCCTTTATTGTTTTTAATAGGCATTAATGATTTGCCAGACAATCTTAATTAATCTCAAACAAAACTCTTTGCCAACAATGCCCTGGTTTATGGAGTCATTTGTGCTGACAACGATACAATCAATCTCCAGGACGACCTCTCTAGTCTCAAGCAATGGCAGAATAAATGGCAAATGAGCTTTAACCCATTGAAATGCAAAATTATCTGTTTCTGACAAAAGACATCCCCCAACAAGAACTTATATGTTTTGCAATGTGATACTTGAACAAGTGGACTCCATAACTTATCTTGGTGTTACCGTAAAGAAGGACTTAAAATGGTCTGATCATATTTCCGACATCACTGGAAATGCGAACAAAGTGCTTGGATTGGTTAAATGAAATTTTTGGAACAATTCTCATAATGTCAAAGAAACTCTCTCCAAATCAAGTGTTCATCCAAAGTTGGAATACGCAAGCGAAATCTGGGACCCATATTACCAGAGGGACACCTATGCTGTTGAGACGCTTCAGAGGAAAGCCGCTAGATTTTGCATGAATAATTACCACCATGAAAGCAGTGTAACAGAACTTATTGAAACACTTGGATGGGACTCATTGCAATTAAGACATAAACAGGCTAGATTATCTCTTATGTACAAAGTAAGTAACAACCTAATAGACACCAACCTTAAAAATTTATTATCCCACTATCATGAACTACGCACATGTCGCCGTCACGCTTTTAAATATAAGGCCCCAATGGCCAAAATAGATGCTTTTAAATTCTCTTTTTTCCCAAGAACTATTGCTGAATGGAATATCCTCCCAAGTGACGTTGTAAACTCTAGTTCTCTTAATATTTTTAAATAAAAAATTAGCACCATTCCATGTTTACATACTTTAGCACCATTTAATGTTTACATACTTTAGATAGATATATAATGATTATTATATTCTTTAATAGTTTTCTAGTTTTCTAAATTTTTCTTTTTTTTTTCTTTTTTTAGTTGGTGTGATACCCCTTAAGGTTTTACTGACTCTAATAAATGTAGATGTAGTAACCTAAATAAAACCTTAGATGGGTTACAGCAGCCTTATTTTAAACTGAAACTTAATAAGTCTGCAAGAATTTCTGCAGTGAAAGAACTCAGTGATGGGTCTAGGGTACCTTAACTACAGGTGGCTACAAATACATCCAATACGTAATAAGATGACTTTAAACTGTACCTGGGCCTTAATAGTTGAGTTAGCATAAGGACCTCTATGCTTCATGTATAAAGTTATGGCATCCTCTAGGTATTTCTTGGCTTTATCTTGGCAGTCATCATCATCAGTGTAACTTACAGCCATTACAAATGAAGAATCTGCAAATTCCACTGAATCTTTCCCAAATCTATGTAAAAAATAAACATATTCTTAGTTAATTAAAGATAATAGAACTACACAAACTTGCCTCATGATTGGTGACAATATTTGTGTTTAGACATTACTTTGATTTGCTGATATCATGAGCTTGCATTAATAACTCTGAAGCCCTTTCTCTGCTGGTTGTGTCACCATGACTCCCTTCTGCACGAGCCAGGCTTTGGTAAATCAGAATCAACTCTTTGCTGTCAGCACCATAATATTCCTGAGCAACCTCTAATGCCTGTAAAATAAAGCATGCAGAATTGTGTATAATTATGGCTTATAGAAACCAAGGGGAGAAATTCAGTTCACATATCAAGACTTAATTTTAATAATTAACAATTATTCGCCGAAGGCGAGGTGAATATCGTCGAATAATCCCCAAGATGAAGTCGAGGGGATTATTCGACAATATTCACCAAACCTGAGGCGAATAATTGTTTTGTGTAATTTCAGAACTGAACAACAGAGAAATTTCTAAAATCACAAACATTTATTAACATTTTAGTTTAACATTTTATATAAACCGCGTGGAGCGGTTTATATAGCGTTATATAAGGAACCACTAGACCAATCAGATTGCTGGAAACTCTTTGCTCAGCTCTGAAATTATACTAATTATATTTATTATATGGCAGTCTCACAAGGACTGGGAACTACCGAATTCATGAATTTGATTGGCTGAAATCAAATTGAAAGCGGTCTAGATTTTCCCATCTAGACTGGCATCTAGACTGGTCTAGAAAAAAAAGTTACAAAGAATATAATGTTCCTTTGCTTTCTAGACACAGCCATATAATAACATCTTATTAACTGAGCTAGGTCGGTCTGTATAAGAGAATCTTGACCTCAGTCACTGGTACAGACCTCACTGCATTCAGTCTGTACTGGCGACCTTGGTCAAGATTCTCCCATACAGACCTCCTACTCGGTTAATAATAACTAATTGTTTACTGTATAGGTAAGATGGTAATAGTGAATAATGGTTCCCATTTTCGACTGTCAGTCAACTGTCAGCCAACAGGTTATCAACACATTACAGACACACTGACGCCAGTTGGCCAACAGTGTTAAGTGAAAAAATTGACTGAAAACAGAGTCAAAAACTTTTTCGGTTGAAAACAGTAAATAGATATGTCAATTGCACCATTTGTACCTTTAAATCTACTTGATTCTGTTTGAATGATGAGGTTGTTTACTCATCAATAATAATATCCATCACTAATAATATCCATCAATAACAATATCTTTTGGGAACTGTTCTTCACTTTTACCAGATAGTAAGACCATTGATAAAAAATATTACCTTTTCCAAGCATTCCAGGGCATATCCTGTTTTGTGAGTCTTAAGACTAACGCGACCAAGAGCCATCAATATTTGAAGCCGTCTGCCAGGGTCCTGTTGTTTCAGGCCTAGTTCCTCCCTTTCTCTTGATACTAACTCTGCTTTCTTAAAGCTGTTCTCTGCCTTCTGTAAGCTGGAAAGTAGCAAATACACTATTGTCTTCTCTTACTTCTAAATTCAACATTGTCTTTGAATGATTTTTGTAAGTTTCACAAACAAAATATTACAATCAATCAATTTGTATACTAAATGCAAATCAGCAGCATAACAGGTGATTTAAATGTGTTCACTTTTAATGTAAGTTTTAATCAAAATTTAAACTATATCTGTATAGTCCTCCTGTGCAAATGATTGGGGTGATAATTTCACATTTCTATGGAAGAATCCCTTTTTTTTTTGCTTTTCTAACTTTGGTATAATGGAAAATACAATCCTGTTACCCCTCAGAATAATTATGAATCATACCAGTTTCAACAGAAATATATCAATCTCACCTTTAGAAAATAAACTGGATGGTAAATAAATAAAGGCTGATAATTTCGCTCCGACGAAGGGCTAATGCTCGAAACGTCAGCTTTTATAACCGTAACAGTGGCCAATTTACCATTTCAACTTTTTTGATATATTAAAATTATTTGGATGGTAAATAATTTCTCTTTGGGATACCATAACCAAGTGGTGCAAGAGGTTGTGGGAAAGCAGTGCAATAGCCTTATGTAGTACATTCACTTACTTCTTCAAGGCAATTTGAGCTTGTCCCATCACAAGATACATTAACTCCATGATGGGAAGTACATCAGATCTGTCATAAATCTGTCTTCCTTGATGTTTTGCTGCATCTGCTGCAAGTAACACATCACGAGCATTTCCAGCATGGATCAGAGCTTGCTGGGCCATTCCTGACAATAGGTAAATAATGACTTGTTGGTGATAAAATCCCTCTTCAAAATATTTAAAACACATTCATGTTTATTTCGTATGTTTGAAATTATAATTATCTCAAAATTGATGTGTTAGTAATGGATAGTTTATTCTAAATTGATGACATTATTGATCAAAAAAATTTCACAAAACCAGTACCCCTCTGCTCGAGATATGCCTGTGAAAGCTTAGAGTAAGCTTTAGCCAGTTTCCAGTGATTATCCCCATAAATGATTCTGGTTAAAGCAACACATCGGATGCGATCATGTACAGCTCTATCATCTCCATTGTTGGCAAATTCCCGTGCTTGCCTTCTGTAGCTTTTAAGCAGAACCTGGGGTGGGGCCAAACCTAATTAAGGGAAATTTCATATTCAGAAATATTTCACAAAACCTAACCTTCTACTTTAGATATGCCTCTACTTCTTAGAGTAACCTTTCACCAGTTTCTAATGATTATCACCATGAGATTATAATGAATGAATGGTTTTCTCTTCTGTTAACATAAAGCAATTGGGAAGGTTCTTTCAATCAAAAGTTTGTATAGAGAGATGTTATTTTAAGGCTACTGTCGACAAAGTCTGGTCAAAATTTTCAAAATTTTGTTTTTTGCTCTTTAGTTTGAGGATTGATCTAGTAAGTTTAATTTGTCCTTTGTTAAAAATTTTAAAATCTTAGAAAGAAAGTGAGATATGGCTGATAGAATGTTTTAGGGTAGCTGGAACCAAACAGTGTAAGGTAAAATAGCTTAGAAGTCCCCCAGCAGTGTTGATGTTTTTTGCCCACTTTAGTCCTGGTGCTCAAGTGAATTTGTCACATTCCCCAAAACACTGAGAAGTAAAAGTCTTCATTAAAAGGGAAAAATAGAAGTCTTGGACCAAAGAAATTGATAGTAGACATTTTTGACAAAATGAAAAAGTATGACTTTGCTCTTTGCTTTTCCTCATGAATTTTTACTCCCAACCAGTGAGGTCACAAGGTGACCTTTCCAGAAAATTTCCATGGTCCTCTTTGTCACAAGACTCGCCAGGGGGTTCAATATTGCCTTTCATTGGTTGGTAGCATGACCCCTTTGACATGTACTTAAATGAGGTGTCAAAAAATATGAATATTTTTGGAGACAAAAACCTCAAGGTTTGTTTTCATGCAAGTTACCTCAGTCCACTTAAATGAATTAATAAAGTATATGGTTTTCAAAATCCACCAGAACATTTATCAGAAATAAATGCACAAAAGGGTGTGAGGCTTAACAAAATTCTAAACATTTTTCCTGGAACCTCCTGGCACGTACCAACCACTGAAATGTTTTCTATTGTCCAACTTCAAAATAGATTTTCTCAGGAACCAATTAAACTCATTGAAAAAGTCTCACACACTTTTTAGCTTAATATCTACTACGTAATACAATCCAGTTTGTTTAGATGTCCAGGATAATGTTAAGGCTGGTAATTCAGTTAAAAAATACTGTTAGTTTTATCTTAAAGGTTTGCATGTGTCTACCAAAAGAAAAGCTGTTAAAACTTTTGTTACTTTCAGAATCTATAGTTTGTAAGTTTTGAAGTGATATATAGTTTTCCATGGTAAGGTGCATAGGACAAATTTTTCCAGTGGGTATCCTATTTTCTTGCCAGTAACCTTAACTGTCAATGTTTCAGTGGCAACACCATTCCTCAAAAAATGGACATTACACCTTCCTTGCTCTGCCATGTCAGCCAAGTTTACCCAACTAATGTAAAGGAAAAAATGAAAAAGCCCTGGGAAAATGTCTTTCAAGAATTAAGAGGATGTTAAATATACTACAGTAACTGTAGCTTAAGTTTAATTCCTATTCAACTAAAGATTTATCACAGATCTGTAAAATTTAGTTATTAAAAAAAATACTTTTTCAAGAGTAAAACAGAGCCAAACATTTTTTTTGGAGGGGGGGGGGTTAACTGCTGGTGGTCGAACACACACAAGCTAAGTAGAGGTCAATGCAACAAACTTTCATTGGTTCTTAGCTATCACAATCTTATATAGTCATATATGCTATGATTATTTTTTTTACTTGGTTTCAAAACTTTTAAACCAGCTTTCCTTGTATCAGTGTATTTCTTCAGTTTTTCACTCATGACCTCAATTTTAAAAAAAGAATGTAGAATAAAAAAGGTTTGGAAATTTTTTAATGTTTTATACATATTGAAACAAGGTGCATAAGATACCTCTAACATATCCTGAGGAAGAATTGCCTTCTTTATAACCTTCTTCATGATCAGATTCCTCAGAGGAAGAATTTTTCCACACAGCAATTCCTAAATTCTTAGGGTCGTTATCAGATGCAGATGGAATGTGGATCACCTCTTCTATGACATATTTCTGTTGGTCTGGCAATTATACAAGCTACGATTAGATTTTTTAACTTTGAAAAAAACACTCTGAGGCAGTTATAAGGAGTGGGCAGGTAACATCCACTATACCGGTAATAGAATACACCTTGAACCGCTGACCAGTACAAACAGTGTGTTCTAAAACAGCATGAAGTTGTTGGTTGAAAAAAGGAAATAATGAGGTCTAACAGTGGAGATGTAAGCAAAAACCGCCATCACACCTGTCTGATAAGCTTCCTCGTCATCGCTTGCTGAGTCTGTTCTGTTAACACTTGCATCACTTTCAGTTTTACCTGCGACTGAGGACACTTCTAATTCCATCGAGTTTTACGCGTTTTCATGCTTAAGAATGCATTTTCAACCGTAGCTAAGCTCAAAGAGAACAGAAAGATTTTAAAGTAACATCGTCAGAGATTAGCTACCCTAAGATGCTGTGGGAGTTTCCGAGTCACTACGGTTACTTTTGTTGACACCGACCACCATGTTTTCCAATTCCGATTTTTATCCCCCAAGGCATACTGGGAATATGGCTTGTTGTCGTCATAGCAACTGGCACCCGCCATCTTGAGGTACAAAGGCAGAGGAAAGGACTTGTTGAAATACAAGAGTTATGCCTCAAAAGGAGGAGCCGATTTATTGCTCACAACAAATCAACATTCCTCCAGAGTTGCCAGACATCCTAAAGCAGTTTACTAAGGCTGCCATTCGTACACAACCGAAGGATGTTTTACAGTGGGCCTACGCGTGAGTTTTGTTTCTTCTTCCAATTTTAACTTGGAACAGTGTAAGGATAAACTATCTTCCAATTTTAACTTGTAATGGTAGATTGCTTCCACAGGGTTATGGAAAGATTCTTGAATTTGAAGTATTTAACGATTTTCTAACACGTTTAAGTGTCACACCAGCTTTTTCATTGATGATGTTTGATGGAGGTAGCCTAAAACTTAGGTTGAAGTTGCATGTTGAACTTTTGACTCAAATGAGTGCGTTACGGAAAGAAACATTTGGCAGTTTTTCCATAAGCATAGTAATATCATTGAGTTTTGCATCTTAAAGCTGCTACAGAATATTTGTGTTGTGTTAAGGAACTGATTATGCCAAATTGTCCATCGAAAAGAATCAGGCACGTACAGCTCTCCCATTTCCTTTCGACAGTAGTTAGGGGCTTCATTTGACCTGATATGTTGTAATTCACCAATGTTCAAAGATACCCAAGAGTAGCTTATGTTGGTAATGAGCCACCCATAATCAGCATCCTATAACTTCTAAGGCAAAATATGTCATAATGTGTACTCTACACATACATATAGCCATCTTGATTTTAAATCTAGGTATTAATGAACCTTTAGGTACTTTGATGCCTTGTCTAAAGGAGAGACACCCCCGGTGAAAGAACGCCTTGAGTTCCAGCTTGGGCAGCCTTTGGAAAAACCCCTTACTCAAGGATTACTTGCAGTTTTACACAAACAGGTATCTCACTTCACAAGATGTCAGCCTACACCAATTACTTGTATCAAGCTCAATCCCATTAGTGTGCATTGCCAAACTTGATTTAAAATGAGGTTCCTATGCCAGAGAGATCATAGTCGTGCTGTTAGGGTCAACTACGATTTTTTGTTGGTAAACTGACTACAAAAACACATGTTGCAAGAATGTTTTCCCTCCTGGGATCTTCCAAACACTGAAATCTCCCCCTTAATAAAAAATGCACCTATAGGATAATTGAGTCTGAGTTTTAAAGACCCTGCATACAGAAATGCAAGAAGTATCCAATAGACATTATCCCTACCGCTCAGAAAATGGTTAATGGTATCCCCTGCATTAATTACATCATTACAGAAAGCTTTGCCAGAAATGAAAAAAAAGAAAAAACTTACAACTGCATAACACCACATGAATTTCTAGATTATCTGTTGAATTCCAATTACTCACTATACTGTATTTATTCATCTATAAGCCGAGGGATTTTTTCTCAAAACTTTACCATAATCTCGAAAATTTGAGCTAGAGAAGGGTTCTCAGCTTATAGCGGAGTGTTTTTCTAAACATAATTTTTTCGAACAGCAAATTCAAAGGAAGCACAGATATATTCATCTATAAGCTGAGATATTGCATGCAGAAGTAAATAACAAAACAAGCTGAAGTTGGTCCTTGACTTTATTTATGTTGTTGCTTCCAAAGGAGCAGTTTGTTGTTTTCAGTGGGTAGAAAATACGGCTTATTGTTCGTCCTCAGTGTTGGCATGGAATTCATCGTCCATCTCCTCCTCATCCACTAGTTCTGCCATTTATTTTGAGTAGATTGCTTCATCTTCCATGCCATCTAGAGTGTTAGATATTCTGCAGGTTTTGAATGAGTGTATAGATATTGTGAAAGTGTTTTAAAAATTTCGAAACTGACTAATCAGAATTGCCCATTTGCACAATTGGTAAACAAACTCGTCACATGTTACGGTGTTGAACAGAACAGAACAGATTTATTTTGCACTATCTCAAGAGATTATAGCAAAGATTACTATAGATTACAACAGTAAAAATAAACAAGAAACAATGAATTTGCGATCACATAAAAAGAAAACTTATCTTGGCTTCTCGGCTCTGTAAACCAGTCAAGTAATCTCTCATCCAGGCGTGGATATTTCGGAGTGTAACGGCCCATTGTTAAGCATTTTGCTGACATCTCAGGCTCTCCATTAAAGAGGTTCTCTTGATCTTTCTTCTAGCGACTTACTGATGACTTGCTCTCTGGTTATCTTGGAATTGTTTTCGACAGCAATACTGCATTGAAACTCTTTTCTGTTTTGAAACTTTTGCGTTCATTTCAGTTTGTTCGAGAATAGAATTCTCTGAATATTTTTAATTTACATGTTTTAAGAACCTTCCCGATTAAAACAGACTGAAGTTTAGGGTATCAGCTTATAGCCGAATAAATATGGTATATCATGTACCAGGAGCACAATGTTATGCTCAGCTATTTATTTTCCTTAACAGCTGGGTGGAAAGCCGATTATAGAGTTGTCATCCTTGGAAGAAAAGTGGAAACATTTGTCACTTCCTAAAGACACTCTGGATGAGCTACTGAGGTGATAGAAGGTTCTCAATGCTATTAAGTTCATTGCTAAAAAAAAAGGGTCTTAAAGTTTAGAAATGATAGAAGTAGTATAGTTTATCTCACGATGCAGTTACAAGAACTGTGGAGTTTGGCAGTCAGCAATTGAACTGACTTTGTCACAAGTGAAAGGATGATTGTTCTTTACTGTGATGAATGACCACAAGTTTTTTTTTACAATTTTAACTAAGGAAGTGATGGTGCATATAACTATAGTCTGTACATGGAATGAACAAATTGCTTTAGAGGCTTCCATTCTTTTTTAGGTTGGGAAGTTTTGGTGAGGAACTGAAGTGGCTTCATTTTCTGGCTCTTGCTTGCAGTGCAATCAGAGAGGTAAATTGTATTAAAGTAATATTATCCAAACATTTGTCAAAGTCCATAGGGAAATATATGTTGACTTGTGTATGTCTGTACAGTCAAGATTAACAGCAATTTTTAAGTATTATACTGTCTCACAAATATGCTGTTAGTGGACATCTTGTTTTTGAATGAGTAAAAGTGCTTTTTATTGAAAAATATTTGTTCTATAAAAACATATCAATAATTGTTAGAATAAATGCTTGTCAAGTCTTACACACTAATTTACAACAATAAAGGGGGTAAATTTCTAAAGAAACTGTGTTGTTGCTTTGGAGGAGGAATATAACAAGATAATTTGGTTTTATCAACTGGGCGGATGCTGTAAATTGGCCACCTTTAAGAGTTTCTTAGCTGATGTTTCAAGCACTAGCTGTTTGTCTTGGCTCTAAGGAAGGTCTAATGCTCGAAATGTCAGCTTAGAAACTCTTTACAGTGTCCAGTTAACATCAACTCAAATTACCTACTTTACAACAAGCAAGTGGGCTGAAATTTGGCTCATTGTGCAAGAATTAAACAGAGGTCTAAGCATCATTACATACCCATTTTGCTAGTCAGAATTCTTTTAAGTTGGTATTTTGTGTTTGTCAAGTGAAAGTAAAAAGGGACATTTTATAATGCAAAAGAGCTGGCCGGGAGATTTTACCTGCCCACCCTACATAAGTTAGTGTACGTGGATGTAAACAAGGTGTTGGAGTTGGAAGTGAGGTAATTTTCCTCTCTCAATTCTCCTTGCTGGATTCCTTCCTTACAAATGAACAAAAAGGAATGGATACAGAGTTATAAGATAAGCAACATTTCCATTTCTTTATTGTACATTGTTTTATGTCTCAGAATCTAACATTGGCTATGAAAACAGTTTGTGAGATTTTAACAACTGATCTAGAAGGAGGTCCTGCTCGAATACCATTCTCACTGTTTAAGGAGTTGTTCACATACCTGGCAGAAATTGATGGAGAAATTCCTAAGGAACATGTTGATGCTGTCATTGAACACTTAAGCTATGATGTGTGAGTAGCATTCACACTTGTTTCAATAGCAATACTTTACAACATGCAAGTTTCTTTTAGATGTAAGATAGTGGCAAGGAGGTTGAAAGTAAGAATTGAGCAACTTGGAAATTTACTGGAGTAGAAAAAGGTTTTTCACCATTTTTTTTTTTTTTTTTTTTTTTTTTTTTTGTGGTGGGGGGGATTACAGTTCTCTGTGAAAATATTTTGTATTAAGCCTTGGTAGCTAATTGTCCCTTGGAGTGCTTTTGATCTTTTTATCACTCTGAATTTTTATTTTTATTTAAAAAAGGATAGCTCTTTTGCTCAATTATGATCTGGATCATTGAACATTCTAAAATATACTTAATAAGAACAACCTAAACCCTTCCCAAATGAGGAAAAGAGTACTTAATGCACAGTATAAAATATTCCCTCGTAAGTTTACGTTATTTCTTCTGAAATTAAATTGATGTAAATTTGTGTTACCCAATAGTGCACAATTTCTCTTTTTTTTTTTTCAGAGAAAAACAAGAAGGACAAGTTTCTCCACGCAACTTTATGAGTGACAGTTGTCCTCCACTTTCACTAAATGAAAACTCATGAAAACATTCATGTCGTAAAAACTGAAGTACAAACTGTTGATTGTGATATAGGTTCATTTTGTTCAATCCTCAAGCTGTCAAAACATATCACAGGCTGTGTTTACCTACACCTAAATGTCATAGATGCACCACCATCTCTTCGAAAATCGTTTACATGTGTATATATATATATATATGTGGCCAGATTAAAAAAGTTGCTTATGGCTTTTTCCATACATTGATGATCACAGCAAGCTTACAAGGAGCAGTATCAGTGAAAATTATGTATATACATGTACTACTGTGATCAAGAAGTAAACCTTTGATAATCTCATGCCCTGTTGGCTCTGAATTACTGCATTTAAGGGCTAGTCAAACATTTTCTAACCATTTTCACTGCATTATCGCAATAGGGTAGGACTAGAACGGAACATATGTGAACCATGCAAGTAGTCCACCCAATAAATTCCACCCATCCCACCCCAGGGGAGGACATCCATCACACAGTAATCTCCTACCCCTAACCCTGTAGAAGACGGGACCTCCATTTATTCGTCCCTATCCAAGAAGACTAGAATATCCAACCATTTCTTTGATGTTATAGAAAGGTAGCATATTCTTCTCAATTATTTTAAGACCTTAAGTGTTGGTCCGGCCGGGGCTTGAACCCTCGACCTCCCGCACAACAGTCCAGCGTTCTATCCATTGAGCTAAAAAAAGATAAAAATAGACGTAAAGTAGGGTAAATTGAATAAACAAAATAAAATAACTAGAAGAAAGAACAGTTAAATTAATGAATGACAGGGTTGTATAAAATTTATGTATTATTATATTTAATATTTTAAATGGTTATTTTTATTAATAAGTATTAACCACACCCACGACTTTTACCCACACCCACACCCACGACCCACGACTATTAGGCAAACTCCCGTGTTCATTATTATATTACTTGACCTCTGGACCTCTACCGCCAAAGACCAGGGTGTGGTAAAGATAATCGAAACCGGACCAGGCAAATCCTGAGACTTAAAGACTTAGCCTAAAGTGCAGGTGTCGTATTAGGGCGAGTTTGGGTAAGTTTGTCCGAACGCCATGTTAGATTTGGAGTGAGACTGGATGAAAGGGCTTAGGTCAGTACCTATGACCGAACTTTTCAGAAAAATTTTCGATCGACAGGAAATTTCTCGATGGACAAAAAAATTCGCGATCGTATTTGCGAAACATAGTCGGGAAGAGACAAAAAGAAGTTCTCTAAGTCTTCATCGTTACCTCTCACCGATTTAAAATTCCATAACAATACAACAACAGTAAGCAGCTGTACAAACATTGTTACAATAATTAATGACACTTCAGAACGCCCGTAGACTTTCTCAAAGTCGCTCGCTTGGTTTTCTGTTCTGGTGTGGTAGCTCACTGTCGTGCTACGCGCTCAAAAGCGCGAATTGTGAGTAAGTCTAGAACGCCCGCAACCTTTTACTTTAGGTTAACAATCCGCCATTTTCGTTAGTACGATGTGATGTCCCATGTGATTATATTTTGGCGCGAAACGCCCGCTGACCAGCTCGATTGACCGACAAAAAAAATTCTCGACCTGCAGGAAAATTCTCGCTCGCCAAATATTTCTCGATCGGCAAAACAATTCTGAATTGACAAAAAATTCTCGATCGACAAAAAAAATTCTTGATCGGCAAAAAAAATTCTCGATGGGCGAAAAAAATTCTCCATTGGCGAAAAAACTCTCGATCGACAAAATTATTTCTCGATCTACCAAAACATTCTCAACCAGTAAAAAAATTGTTTGACCCATGAAAAAGTTTTCTCGATTCTTTAAAATATTTCTGAACTTACCACGAACATTTCTCGTCAGAGAGAATTATTTCTCGACCAATGAAAAAGTTCTCAATCGTCAAAAATATTTCTGGACCATCGAACATATATCTCGTAAGACAAAATTATTTCTCGGCCAACAAAATTAACTCGACCACTTTCGTCCAGTATGGCTTTCCATAATAAACACTTGTTTTTCTGATTTGAAGCGTTTTGGGAGTTACGAAAAAGTTTTGTTGAGGTACAAATGTGGAGAAATTTTTGCCTGTCAAAAGGTCGTGCTGCTTTCCAAAACACGCGATGACTGAGGTGTAGTTTCTTCACGAAATTTTGGTTGAGACACATTTAAATTCGATTTAAAAATACAACAAGTCATGAACCACGATGAAAAACACCTAAATTCAAATTACATACTTTATGTTGACTTGAAAGGATACCTTTTGATTAAAACGTTTTGATAAAAGTAAACGAGGTTTACGTATGATGCACGATCCTCGCAGTAGAGAGCGCTATTTATGCAATAGCGAAAATCAGACCTGAAAAAATCAGGCTTGTACGGGATTCGAACCACTGACCTCTGCGATAATAGTGCAGCGCTCTACCAACTGAGCTAACAAGCCTCTACTAACTATGCCTAAAGTAATTTCAGGGTTATAGGAAGTTCAGAAGTTTTTGAAAACCCCGCCTGCAGCGACAATCGACTTCAGGCTCGTTGAATGGCGATCAGCCAATCAACGCTTGACAAATATTCAGAAAAATCGCCGGGTATCCCAAGATGCAATGTACGCCAATTTTTAGTGTTCTCTCAAAATGGCTTCCGTCGAAACGTTGTCCAATCTAGGTTTCTTATTGTTTTTATTTCGTTTATCTGTGGCTTCAGTGCCGGGTGAGCGTCATGTTAAATTCCAATATAAGCACAGTTTTAAAGGACCGCATCTAGTGAATAGAGATGGAGCAATTCCTTTTTGGAATCACGGAGGAAGTAAGTTGCTATTGTTTTGAAAAGTGACTTGTGAATATTTAAGCTACACGTGTACAAAGTCACCATGGCATACGTTTTAATGTTTCTTGGCTGGTTTTATTTTACCATTTAGGTGCTATCCCCAGCGATGATCAGATTAGATTGACTCCTTCAATGACAAATAAAAAAGGTTGGTTTCCTGAAATATGACTTATTTGAAACTGAACAAGCAATCGACCGGCCGGATTTATATTTAAAAAACCATATTACATGAATGTAAGGTCCTGAAGGCAAATACGTCTTCAGTTGTCACAGCTGATTTCAACAATGGCTTATGGACTCCGTATGCAACTTATCTGAAGGCCGAATTTGTTGTGAATGTTGAATGTGAATGTAACAAAACATTTACCTTAATCCTATAAACAAAAGTTAAGAGGACGTGAAGGACATCATTGAGGTCGCGTTCAACTTTAAAGCTTTGTGTTCCGGAAATACTATTTACATTCAAGATCACAACCTTAATGCTTTTCATTGAAAAAGATTATTACACTATTTCTTAAATAATTTCAGGCTTCTTTCCCCCTTATTATTTCTGTGATGTTTTGTCTTGCAAGTGAACTCGAATTCAATAAAAATTATTAAATATTTTCAGTTTCATAGGGTATCTTGTGTAAATTAGCAGAATATGTGAGAGTTATCAACTATTTGAAGAGATATGAATTAGTTGTGTTGTGTGTAAGCAAAAGTCAAAGGTTATATATGCCCTCAGTTTGGGTTTCGTCCTTGAATGACACAAAATATTTTTTCATGACAAGATCAGGTAGAATTGCCCTATATTTAAAAATCATTGTTGTTGTTTTTACCCAAATTACTTTGTAATCAGCATGTTTGTTTTTATTAGGAGTTTAATGAACAAACAAAAGTACTTTTAACATTCTCAACAAGTCCGAAAAAAGGTGATGAAATCCAACATGAAGATAGCGTGGCCTCACTCTTTAGCTATGCTATTTTTCCAACTGGTGTAAGGATAAAATTAGACCAAAATGTTATGATCTTTATCAAATGTTATCAAATGTATCTGTATCAAATGTTATGATGTGTATCAAATCTTTTCCAACAGGTTATGCATGGACAAAAAGCACCTTTCCACATGAGTGGTGGGAAGTAGAAGTAGCCCTGAAAGTAACTGGAAGAGGAAGGCTTGGTGGAGATGGTGTGGTGAGATGCATATAAGAAATTGTGTATAGAATGCACACACTTATGGAGTACCTGAAATATTTTTGCTATTTCATGTGTACATGTGAATAACAATTAGAGGAATAATTTACAAGTCCCTCCAGTCTAGTGTCTACAATTTCTGGAGCATGGAGAGTGAGCTTTGTAGTAACACTCCCTCTTCTTAACATGATAAAACTCTGTCCAAGGTAACCTCTCACCCATTCCACTGCAATTCATAAAGTATTAAAGATTTAATAGTTATCTATTCAGAATTTGTCTCTTTGAACAGATAATTTAAGGAAGTCAGAATATTATATTCTTTCAGACAGGACCTGTTATTTATAGTAATGTGTGTTTGATCTTGTTACCCAGGCCATTTGGTTTACAGAAACTGCAGGCACTGAAGGTCCTGCATTTGGAAATATCAACACATGGAAAGGTCTTGGTGTTTTCCTTGATTCATTTGACAATGATCAACAGGTAGGTCAAGTAACATCTTGCCTTTCTTCTACAAAAATATATGGGTATCCAAATTAGTTTATTCTCAGGAGTGGGTGACTAAAGAGTTAGGTTTTCAATTATTCCTTACTCTAACATTCTGTTGGAAAAGAACCTTGTGTCAGTAAATTCCTTTTGTATAAGATTCTAATATGTTAAGGTGTTCATGTATGAAATACAAACTTGCTTCTTTATATTTGGCACATAACTATGCATCCTGTCTCCTTTTACTGTTTCTATTCACTGATCTTTTTTCGTTTTTAGGGAAACAATCCATTCATTTCAGTGATGTTAAATGATGGAAATCAGATTTATGATCATAACAAGTATGTTGTGACTATTAAATACATCTTTTTATGATACATATCATTTTAATGTATTTTCTATGTTTTATGTTGACATGGATTGTTAATATTCATTTATTAGTTTGAAGTAGAGAAAGGAAAAATTTAGAGAAACTTAAGATCTCTGCCAAGAATTAGTTTTCTAATTAATTAAATGACTGAATGCATAGTTTTACTTTGGAGCCTTTTGACTTTTTGTTAGTTAAATTGTTTTCCTGTAAATTTGTATGTTATTAGTACAAAGACTGTAATACTGTGAATAGAAGTAAATTTGGAATAGATCAACCGCAGACTGAAGTAATAACTATGCAAAGTTTAAATTGTAAATTAAATCCTTTTGCTTTTTTATACGCCATCCTGTTATCTATGATGCAAATGAAATTGAATTTCAAAGGACCTTGATTTCAGAGTACTTTGATTTGTGTTCTTCTTTATGCTATATACTTTACCTTTTCCTTTAAATAAGTGAGATATCAAACCAGTCTCAAATCATTTTAACTTTTGATAATTTAAGATTAAAACATCTATATGCTGGTAGCCTTTTTGAAATTGAAATTATATGGCTTTTAATTTTATTCATTGATGATCTGTTACCAGTAGCTGTTGTGGTTTATTAAGTTTATTGTGACAAAAAGATAGAAAATCAGCAAAATCTAATCATGGTACAGCTGCAACATGTCAATTGTTTTATTTTGTTACAGAGATGGGCAGGATCTTCAACGTGGTGGTTGCTTACGAGACTTTCGTAATCGACCAAATCCAGTTAGACTAAGAATTCGCTATTATGAGAATGTGCTTACAGTAAGTACTGCAAATTCTGAGAAAAATTGTTTTTGAGTAAACACTTGAAAACAATAAAAGCACTCAGCCTGTGGCCTCATGCTTTCATCAGTTTTCTTGTGTTTGGAAACCCTGTTGAAACCCCCTGCTTGAGTTTTTGAAATTGCTTCTCAACCACACCTCAAGAATAAAAGAAAATGGAAGTATTCATGAATTTTTTACAGGTTGTCAGCAAGTTTGTTGTTGTTCTTCAAATTAAGAAATGGCCCAGTTTTTCAAAGGGCAAATAACGTTATCCAATGGATAAATTGCTATCCAGTGGATGAGTGTCAACAAAATGTACTGCACCATCCATGGTACAGAGATTTATCCAGTCTATAGCCCTATCCACCCTTTATAATGGCAGTGCTCAAACTTTAATCAACTTTCTTTTTTCATTGACGAATGTTTCAATTCACCATGAATCTTTGTTGCAGTGGCTTTTGTGGAATATTGTTTGCAATTGTTCAATTTTGAAGTGTGTAATATATATTCTCCCATTCAGGTGTGGGTACACATGGGAATGACCCCTAAACCTGAAGACTTTGAGCTCTGCACTCGACTTGAAAACATAAGCCTAGCCAAAAATGGCTTCTTTGGTGTGTCGGCAGCTACAGGTGGCTTAGCAGGTCAGTAAAAGCAGTATCAATCAGTGAAGAGTTCGTGAGGTATTATGAACTGTTGATATTTGTTTCAAAAAGTAGACTGTGATCAGATGTTGACTTAAAATGTCCAGCCACTTCCATGCACTGTTATTGGATTTTATGGGATTGTTAAATTGTGTTGTATATATTATGATGATGGTATTTGTTGTTCTTAGATGACCATGATGTTCTTTCTTTTATTACCCACTCTCTCACTCCACCTAAGGACACACAGGTAACTGTTAGAAACTCCTGGGTTATTTGTTTGACAGTTGGTAAGGTAACAGTATGATAATTTTTTTTTTAAGTACTTAACTCTAAATTAAGAGTTTTTATGACTCATTACACATGGTGTTAAAAAGTTGTCTGTTCAAAATTCTTTTTTCTGAGCTAAAGGCTCTAAAATTCATGTCTTGTTAGTAACTCCAAAGGACACGAGTATGAAAAGGTATAGAAAAAATTTTTAATTTAATTTTTTTTCAAGGGTGAAACAGGAATAAGTGAAGAAGAGCAGAAGAAGCTTGCAGAGCAGTATGAAGAGTATCAAAAGAAACTGGAGCAACAAAGAGAGGAGTAAAAAAATCCTTTTTGTACAGTTGTCCAGTCCTGTTGTGAATGATTTCAGAATAATAGTATCCAGGTTCATCTCTTGACCTGTCCTGTACATGTATTTCAACAGGTACAAGACAGCTCACCCTGACAAAGTTAAAAAACCTGAAGCAGAGGTAACAAATCTTGCTGATATCACCAAAGAATTTGATATCACCTTAAGAGTGAAAAGAACAACCTAAACATAGAAAAGTTGAAAGGACTGTCAGCTCACTTGAGTCACAACTTACAAGTAACTGCTCAGAAAAACTGACCAATCAGTTTTGGCAATCCAACTAAAATAATTTGACTTGTGTCAGTCAATGGCTGGTTAATTATTTTGCATGGAATTTTAGTCGACACCCAGTTGTTATTTTTTAATATTTAGTTATTCTTTGTATGTTTGTATCTTAACTATCACTTTTGGGTTTTAGTATGAGAGTGCCTATGAAAGAGATGTTCGTTTGGTTTATGAAGGACAAAATGCTCTTCATCAAATGATCAGGTAACAGAAAGTTTAACCAAATACTTCTTGCCAATAAAAATCAGTTATTGTACATATTTGTGTGAAATGAAGGGAAAATTTGTTCAAACAGGGTTTATAATGATTTGATGCATTGAAAAGAGGGGATTGTCCCCTTTGGACAACAGTGTTCCATTTCTGTTTTAAGTCTTATTAGCATGAAACAAAATGCTGGTCAGCATTACTTTCAAATGTTCTCAAGTTCCTTTTAGTTATACTCTTACAGTAGTTGTAAATGATGTGACTTTTTTTATGTTACTTCCACAGCAACCTTCACTCTAAAGTTGGTGAATTAACAGTACAAGTAAATACGTTATACACATTAGTAACATCAGATCATAACCAGATTGGCCAGGTGGTTAGACATGATCAAACCATCAACAGACAAGAAGTGAACACTCTGATTAATATGCAACAGCAACTCAGTTCCAAGCTGCAAGAAATAAGGTATATGCAGTGAATAAATAGCAATTATGACATTTGTTTGTAAAATTTGAGCAATTCAGGATTGCATTAGCTTTGCACCTCATTGCTCTTAGATTGGTCAAGAAAACCTCTTGCACCCTCACAATCAATCAGGTGCAAATCTAAAACAAATTTTGACTTGTTTTTCTAATGTCCTCTAATGACAGCAAGCAAATGATGATCATGATTTAAAGGAGGATGTGTGCTTTGCTACATTCAGTAAATTTAGTTGAATCCAGTTTACTAAACAATTATTTCTAAATGACTGTGTAGTCTGATTGTCCACGTAAGGGCAAGTCCTGAGAAGGACTGTTGTCATTAGCGGTGACTGATGTTTGGGCAACCATAGCAGAAGTCTTTATAGTTAGGACTGATTGCCTGAGATGTCCTAAGGACTCTCAGTCAAGATTGTAGATACATGTAGTGTGCACTGGAGGCTGAATCACAAATGATACTTCTTGTTCTGCCAGTTGCAGTTTTCAAAGTCTTTTGTGTGCATGACTTAAAACAAGAAACAAGTTGTCAGGTGACTGGTGATCTTTTTGTTTCTAACAGTTTAATGGGTCAAGGAGGAAACATGGAGAGAAGAGATGTTGGTGACTCTGCTGGTGTCAACTCTAAACTTAGTGACATGCAGAATGCAATTGAGTCACTGACACACACAGTCAATAGTGTGGCAACTAAACAACAAGTAAGAATTCCAACTGTATGGAAAAGCAGGAAAGAGCCAGCTTCAGCATTGCTTTATTTGCCTTTCTCACTCCCCTCTTGTTTTAAAAGTAACATAACAGTTTCATCATTTAAAATCTAGGGTACAATGCTAGACTTGCTCCTCAAACTTGTTCAATTGTCAATGCCCTATAGCCCCATGCAGTGGTCCATTGCTCACAAAGTTAAGTGAGATGATTTCATATTTAAATTCTGAAATCGGCTTATTCACGACACTGTGACAATTGAAGTCTCCACCTCAGGCTAGCAAGCAATTTTAAAAAAGTATTCTTAAGGAAATACCATTTTCTTTAAAGAAAGGATGTTCAGGAGTACTAGTAATGATGATGCCAACTTACTCCTGACCAATTTTTCTTTTCCAGATGATGAGTGGTCAAGAGAAAAAAGAGTGCCCCCCTCCCCCACCCATGCCACAGTGCATAGGTCCAGGATACTTTGTGGTTTTAATTGTGGCTCAGTTAATTATGCTGATTGGTTACATTGGATATAAAAATCAAAAGGAGGCTGCAGCCAAGAAGTTCTTTTAGGAATTTTTGTTACATTATCTTGCAAAAAGGTAGTCTGTCTTACAGGCTTGGCTGGGATGTTTGGAATGAAATGAAAATTTAACTGTATGGCTTTTGCTGTGTGTGCACTAAACTGCACACAGTATCCAAGAATTCAACATACTAGGAGATAAAGTTCCAATTGATAGGAGAGTTTTTTAACTTTATGCCGCACAAAGAATTTGAATGTTGGCTTTTGCAAAACAGGGTTGAGCTACCTCAGCTTCTTTTTTAAAAGTTATTGGCATGTTACGTGATGGCTCTTTTTTTGAAGCCTTGAAAAAGTAATGAACTCAAGACATTGGGAAAGCAGAAGTGAGGTCTGTCAACATAAGTTTTCATTTGATGTTTATGAATGACTACTGGACCGAAAACTAAAAAATGTTATTTTTATTCTGTAATATCCCATCAAGGTGTGGTTGTTCATTAAGAATAAAGAACACTTTTAGGGAAAAATTGAAAGGACTTGTTTTAAAAATGATATATTCAAGCCAAATTGTATTTATCAGATCTTAATTGTTACTTATACACCAAATTCAAATATGGCATCCAATTTGAATTACCATTGTTCTGGACTTACTAGCCTCGTCTTCAGGTGGAAAACACAAAAGGATTATAACATGTGTGAGAGGCTAGTAAGTCCAGAACAATGGCAGTTAAAATTGGATGCCATATTTCAATTCGGTGTATGAATCTTAAATTTCCTGGGAAAAGAGTTAGGACCCTTAAAAAAACAGTGCTGTTTCTGGTGCAATACCTAAACCAAGTTAGTTTAATTTTAATTAGAGAATTTTCTCGAGGTATTTTGGTGTTTGTCACTCAATGTAATGTATTTGGAATTGATATAGTTTATCCATTAACCTTATCTTAAATTAAAAAATTTAAAGATCTGTTATGTACCAAGTGTGATGTAAAATACACAGCACTTCTACTGTACATCACTCTAGTGCATCAAGTTTAAAAGTTTTTGCATCACAAGTATTGCCATATGTACTACTCTCTGCATTTACTTTATCAACATACACTTCTCAAACTTTCTTCAAATAAAAATTGTTTCAAATCTGTTTCCTCTACAAGTTACTCAATAGTTGGTAATTCATTTTAGTCTCCTCTTTGTTTTAAAATTGTGTTACTTTCTCTCTGACATTCTCATTGCTAACTCTTGAAATAACACCTTAGATTCAGCATATCATTCAACCACCTCCCGGTTAGCTCAATGAATAGAACGCTGGACTGTTGTGCAGGAGGTCTAGGGTTCGAGCCCTGGCTGGACCAACACTCAGGGTCTTAAAATAATTGAGAAGAATTTGCTGCCTTTCTATAACATCAAGAAATGGTTGGATATTCTAGTCTTCTCGGATAGGGACGAATAAATGGAGGTCCCATCTCCTGCAGGGTTGGGGTAGGAGACGTTAATTTCCCACACAAGAGATTACTGTGTGATGGATGTCCTCCCCTGGGGTGGGATTATTGGGTCTGCAGTAATTGGCGCAAGCTGTTGCGGTGTCCCTGCCGGTTGGTAAAGCCATTAAATCAATAATTCAAATCATTATAAGGGAAATACCGGTAATATTTTAATAACCCTCTAACTCCCAAGATCTGATTGTTAATTCTCCCCTCAAGCTGCCACACATTCCCTTGAAAATTGGTTATGAGAATTTGGTGTTTGATCAAGGTTACAACTTCCACCTGATAAGTTTGAATATTCTCACTACCTGTTTGCTGGATCCAGCATAGATATGTAAGGGAGAAGTTACATGTTAATCACTTCTGGGAGTTTGAGGGTTAATTGTGATATATTTGATCAAAACTAATATAGATCATAATGTTAACAGATCATAATGTTAACATATAGTTAGGAGACTTAATAATGTAATAATGCTACTCATACAAAACTATGCAAATCTTTTGTGGGTTATTGGAATTTAAACTTCTTTGTGAAACCAGTACATGTATAATGTAAATGGAATGTTAGTACATGGGATACTTTTTTCTATAAAATACATTTGCATGAGCTCATTGAAAAACTCTTTAAAAGCCTTCTTTTTAATTTCACTGTTGCCAGCTACAACAGAATAGGAAGCAAAATGTTGATAGGCTTGATCATAAGAACTGATTTCTAAACTGTGTTCAAAACCTATGTATTCTTGTGGAAAACTGAATAAACTCTTTACAAGCGAGCCAACAACTTCTTTCCACTCTTCATGATGTGGAAAAACTAAAGAATTTTCCCTGTCTAAAACATCTAAGTGATTACAAACATGTTTAGCCCATGGTGTGGTCGAGTCTAACACTTTCCACAGGACACCAAAAGTCCCATTTGGAACCAGTACTCGGTGGATCTCCTCCAAAGCTGCACGGTTTGTGAACCAGTGAAAACTTTGAGCAGCAACAACTACATCCACACTAGCATCAGGGAGGGCTGTTAACATTCAAGTGGAAGATAATAGGTACACTATTGCAGTAAATGGTTTGAACCCAGGGGTAACGTGTGAAAGTGTAGTGTAGTGTGAAAACTGACCAATCATTTTACATGAACTGGACTAAGAACATTCTACTGACAACAACTATTCACTTGACTCTGATGATAACATTCAAGTGGAAGATGATAGGTACATTATTGCAGTAAATGGTTTGAGCCCCGGGGTAACTTGTGAAAGTGAAGTGTAGTGTGAAAACTGACCAATCATTTTACATGAACTGGACTAGGAAAGTTCTACCGACAACAACTATTCACTTGACTCTGATGATGACTTCTGCACGGGTTGTCAAAACGTCAGTCACCACCCTCAACAACAGTCCTTCTCAGGACTACACTCACCCAGACGATCACACTATACTTTCACAGGTTCATTATTGAAGTAGCAGATGTAAATATAACCCTCTGATGTGATAAGTTTCCATAAAGCTCTTACAAACACACACAAAAGAAGAAAAAAAAAGGAAAAGAAGTCTACTGTCTCCTGATAGCACTCATCTGAGCGGTTCAGGAGTGAGAGCGGGCAGGCAAGGGGGAGGAGGGGGTCAGGAGTGAGAGCGGGCAGGCAGGGGGGAGGAGGAGGTGAAGGGAACTTTTTTTCCATTCGTCGTTTTTGTTCTGAACCATTTCTTTTTTTATGTCATTGACTTTAAGTACCCTTGAACCTTTCTTCTTACATCGTTATTCTTTTTAATTACAGTTTATGTCTCCTGTGTGTGAGCGGGTGTAATGCTGCAAAATTTCATCAAAGAAAGTTACTAAATTTGTAAGAGAAAATGATACAATCTTGTGTTTAACTCACGTATGCTTTCGGCAGCACATTGGACGATATCTGTTCCAGGTACAAATACTTTAAACTGCTCATACATGCTTTCCAAAGGCTCGCTCGCAATTACCCTGACATTCTTATCGGTTAACACTTTTGCCATCACTCGAGTGAATTTCCCCGTTCCACAACCTACTTCCAAGATTGTGAAGGGGCGAGCTTCCGTCGAACTGACTCTACTGTTATCATCTTTTACACCAAGTTTGTCTAAAAAGTACTTCACCGCTTCTTCAGGATACTCCGATCGAACATCCTCGTAGTTTTTGGCTGAAGCAAAGGCTTTCCGTGCGAAATCGGAAGCGATGTTACCCTTCTCCATGATTACTGAAACACTTCAAACTATTTTACATGATGCCTGTCATGAAGACTTGATTCCAATCTTCCTTACCGAGCGTGTCGGGTAGCGTCGTTTGCTGTGTTTGTTCTATGACACTTTTCATAGCTGGGTAAGAAGCGGCGGCAATCGTACGCCATCCGACGCAGTTTTCTTGGACTTGAACATCAGACGTAACTATAATCTTGTTTCGATTTCATTTATTGTGTCGAATGCTGAATTTTATGGGGAGAATGCTCCGTACATCGACTTTTTTTGTAGACAACAAATCTAGTATCTGAGCGAATGAATTTTGCTTATTTCAAAATGGATACATGTACATGTATATAGAGTGGTAATTGAACATCGTGTCTTGAAATTTTGGTCGGAGATCATACTTGTGATTTCAAATAAAACTCGTGCTGCAAACTCGTTTGATTTTGAAATCACACATGATTTCAAACCAAATTTTGGTTTGCTCACTCAAATATGTTTTGTTTCGTTAACTCAACTAATTTCAGGGAACCCAAATTCTAAAATTTCGACACAAAATACATCCATCCGTGGTCATCATAAAATTAAATCATTGTTTACATTGCAGTTGAAACTTGCTTACTCTCCTCTCTTTGAAGAAAAGTACATTCCACATACCATTATTCGAGATTTTGCTAACTGCAGGAATGTTGTTTTACACAGCACCTGGAAAACTGAGAGAGTCAGCATGTATGGAAATTACATTGTCATTTGACCCTAGCAGCCACTCAAAATGTTACCTCAACTGACTAATTAATCAAGACTTTAAAATTCATAAGTCAAATTCATGAAGTTGTAATTATAAGTCACAGCATTTGTGAGTGGTAATGTTTAAGTTAACAATTCAGCTTGCCTGCTGACTCAGAGAATGAATGAGTTGCTGGTAATCAGATCCCTGTGTTTTTGCGCAAGATTTCTGGGATCGCCATAGGGCAGACATTGCAAGTTGCTAGAAAGAAATGTATAGCAGAAGATTGTTTCGTCATCCTAAAAAAAAATGATTTTGGAAAGAGATCACTTTTTCGTTGCTGTTTTATCAGAAATGGATTTAGATAAAGTTGATGTTTTTGTTTGAATTACCACAAAATATGTTTAAAAATGTACCAATAAATTTCCCTCATTGCAATGTTTCAAAATATATGTCCTTAAAGGTGAGAAGTTGTTGCCTGTGGTGATGAAAACTTTTTTTTATTGAGCTGTTGCTCTTTGAAGGGTAAAATAAGCAATGAAAAACACAAGGGAAAAAATAATGAATTTAATGAGGAAAGTTGAAGTTAAATGTGTATTAGTAAAAAAGTAGTGAAATGATTTTGCATGGAATTGGATATGAACTTCATATATTCATTGTATCTGGATGGAATAAGTACACAAAAAATTTATTAACACTGTGAATTGTTTTTCCCTACAAGTTAATGCAATTTGTCTGACCAGTACTTAAAGTGAGATTTGGCTACCTTGCTTACCTCCTTGTTGCTTCCCCAATCATATTAGGTGGTGATTTATTTGAGAGGTTACAACTGTGTAATTTGGTACACACAGCTAAATTTTATTGCAATAGATAGGCTACAGGGATGTTAAATCAGTTAAATTTTATCCCAATAAATAGGCTACGGGGATGTTAACCAGTCATCAGTAGTAATCCAAACTGTAGCTGAAATAGTTTGTTAACCCTAGCAAGTAGTAATAACTGTATTATTATGTAACTATGCGATGATTAAAGTTGCAGGGTATCATCATGTCACATGTTCCAGCCAAGATAGTACTAAAGAGCACAACCACCAAGTCACTAAATGATCGGTGAGCAATGCACCTTGTATCTTGCTGTACATGGCATTATTGTACCTTTGAGCTGGCTTCCTTCTTGCAATTCTTGTCCTAAAAGCTCTGTGAGCTTTCAAAGGGTCATCATTGACCACCACTCACAAGTTATATGCCATATGGAAAGTGGCAAAAATTTATGCCATGCAGTTAATATTGTTAAAGCTTGATGAGGAGGCATTAAGGAAGTCATGGCCTGGTTGTAATTTGCTTTTTGAGTGAAAAGTAAAATGCACACAAGCACCATTAAGTGCATGGTTGCATTGAAGCCAGTAATATATACAAGGTACAAATTCCTGCTCTCCATCCATCTTCTGAAGCTTCACTGAAATGGCCAAAACGCAAATCAGATCACCCCCACAAGTAACTGTCACTGGAGTGCGGAGCAGTCAGTTCCAGGTGGCTCAAGCCAGCATGAAGAACCGTCGCCTTGCTGCCCAGATGGCCAACAGACCAGGTGTGCAAGCAGCGCTTGGAGGAAACACATCTGACCTTAAAAGTCGACTTGGCTCACCAACAAGAGGAAGAGGACGAGGTGCAAATAGAGGGTTGTTAAAAAATCGATTGGGTAGTCCTGCTGTTGGTGGAAGAAATCGAGGTGGGGTTCAGGGTGGTTTAGGTGGTGGATTAAGGCAGAGCAGTAATGTACATGGTGTGAGCCGAGGAAAAAGAGGTGGTGGTGTAGTTGGTCGTGGTGGTCGTGGTGTTATGAAAGCTGTCACTCGCGGTGGGCGTGGTGGACGTGGTGGTCGTGGTGGTAGAGGTGGTAAAGGAGCACAAAATGTAACCAGGGGACGTGGACAGGGTCGTGGCCGAGGTGACAAGCCTGTGTCAAAGGATAAGTTGGACCAGGAACTTGAGAATTACATGTCTAAAACAAAAAGCCATCTTGATGCAGAGTTAGATGCATACATGCAAAATGCAGTCGGAGATGAAGAATAATCTAAAGATGAGACAAAGAGCTATATGGCTGCCATAAAGCGGATAATAAACATATCAATTTGTTAAAACTACATGGTTACAGTAGAGTGGTTTTGAGGATCATATGTTTAACCACTGATGCCAAAGAACTTTGTTTTAAAGGATTTTGTTATTTACAACAACAGATATTTTAGCAGAGGGAAAACCTTATGATCGTGCCTTCTCTAATCATTAGACTGAACACTCATCACATTAATGACCTATTTGTAAGTGTCTTTGGTTTAGTTTTCTTTGGTTACTTCAATTTGTACATGTGTATTTTAGCTACTTTTTGTTTTACTACATTCAACTGCTGTTACAATACATAGTTGATAATGTTAAATTCTGTTGCATTTAGCAATTAGGATATTTTTACATGTTATTCTATGTTGTACTTACACTTTTTAATACAATGACTCTATTAATTTTTCCTTTTTGATGTTTCAACATAATGAAACTTAAACAGCTAAGATCTTTATTTCAATGAAGTAGTATACTATTTTTTTCAGTTCCGTCGTGGTAAATGCATCTGGAGAAAAACTGGCCTATTTTGGTCAATTTTGGCCACACAAGCAAAATATCATTTTATAGATTTCTTTTTTTTTTTTTTTTTTTTTAAGGAAATTCTCTGTGATACAAACATTTCATGGTGCAGCTGTTGTAATTTATCTATATGCCCTTTGAATAAAACAATGCTATGTAACTCAACATTTGTGGAATGGAATGGAATGAATGTGCCAAAATACCCTTAAGGCAAACTTTTTAGTTTTTCTGTTAATGAGGCATATGGTAGGGCAGGAAACTTCAATTCTCGAATCTGATTGGCTAACAACGCACCGGGAAGGGGTCCAGCTTCTTACAATATTGACCACGATCCAGAATTTTTTCCTCGCCTTTCGCGGCAAACTGAATAATTGCCATTGTGCGCAAACAATTGCAACGATTACCCGATAACAACTTGTGGAAAAATGTGGGGAAGATTAAATTTTGTAGAAATTAGACTCAGACGAGTGTAGCCAGCAAAATCGAGTTTTACTATCCAGGGGAAGAAAAATCACTTGAAATGATGACAAAAAATTGTTGCCAACCTTGAAAACCACGGTAGAAAGTTGTCGATTGTCGCGTAGTAAAATGTCAAGCGAGTAGCATACAAATAAAGTTCTGTTGTGACCTTCTTGGGGTACAATTACAAATGAAAAAGCCAGAAAACGGTTGTCGATGGTCGCTTTCGACAAGTTAGTTAAAAGTCCAGCGAGTAACATACAAATAGTAAAATGTCAATCAGCAAGTCTTAAATTTCCCTTTAAACACGATACCCAAAAGTTCAAGGTTACTGATAACTATTATTATCAAATAAAACCATTTCAAGCAAGACGTATGTGACCAACATAAACAATGCATATTAAATTTAACCTATGATAGCGTATTACAAAATCAGCGAGAAAAATCTTGAAATAATCGTAACAACGCCTTTAGAATCGTCAGTCAAAACGTAATTATTTCAGATCTGCTAAATAGAACCGATTACTGTGTGGTCGAAGCCTTCGTGGTATTGTTAGAAGCCAAGCTAACGTCATTGAGCGTACGAAACGAGTACATAACCGCTCGACGCTCTATTTTGTTGTTAGAAACGAAGAACGCTTTTTGAATCTTCATGGTGTTGTTGCAGAACAAAGTGCGCTTTGGTGATAGGTTTCTCAACTTTATTGCAAATTTACAGACGTAAGACTTGCTCTTTTAGGTATTTGTTTCTTTGGGCGACTTGACTCTTTTCCAAGCGCCATGATTAAAATTTCGGGGACCATGACTCGGGTTTCGGGTGACATGATTTCGGGCGACTTGACTGAATACCATTTAAAGGAATCCACAAGGAATTAAATCTGGAACCGCTAGTATTGGGGGTGGAAGACGTTAGGCTCGGAAAAAGTGGATGATAGAAAAGAAAAGTCAAACGAGATGAACTCCTGTCGAACTACGAACGAAAAACTTGACCTTTTTTATCCGCATTCATTTCCCCGGAGGTTTAATGTCTTTAATCACTCCTCACCGGTCACTTTAAATGTTGGGCTCTCTTACGAGCATAGTTAGTAGTCCCCTCAACTGACTATGTTACGAGTCAGTAAAATGAAATATCGAGAGGAGTTCGAGACGAAGGGAAAAGAGAAGAGTACGTGCTTTATTTCCCATTTGATGAACTTGAGTTTTCGTGTTTGAAATCAAAGTCTAATTAGTTTATAGAAATAAAATCGAAGAAGTCGGATGTGGTCATAAAAGTTTCTTTCTTAATTCCTCACACTTCAAGTAGTTCTAAGACAATTTCCTTTGGCCGCTAATTAAATTACATGCCTTTCTATCCGATGAGAAGAGGCGGTCCTTGCCAGCCGATTTTGTTCCTTTTTGTCAAGCTAGCGAAGCATTCTAGAAATAATTAGCTGTCTTCCGCCTACCTGTAGTAACTCGTGTAACTCAAAGGATGTTATAAATGAGACCTTGGCACGAACAATGTAGTTTTTGTACGATTACGTGACTGCGGCGTTGCTTTGTGAAGGTATTGAGAATTAGCTTGCTTTGCGGTCTTTAATTGTAACGCCCAGTCTCAACCAGAGCGGGACAGCTACTTGTATGACTTAAACGCGACTCGGAATGGCAAGGGTCAGTTAAACGTCTGGAGATTCTAAAAAGTGAGCTTTAAACAGACGTCAGGGTGAGGCAAGGAAACAAACAGTTGTACAGATAAAAGAAGTTTTTTTTTTCACTTTAATGCGACAAAGGTAACCTACAATTGCCGTTTGTATCCTTTTCTATTGGAACACGCTATGCCCTGCCTGCCGTTACAGCAACAGGAACCTATCAATACAACCATAACATGCAATAACATGCAAAATCAATTAAATTACCAATGAGTACTTTTTACAAGTCTTGTCAGTAGAAATAAACAATTATAAATAAATAATTACGATAACTCTTACTGCAAAATTAGGTTCCTCGCGTCCTGCTAACGATAAAAATCGACTTATTCTTTTAGAACTAAATTTAAATAAATGTCTTACGCACCCTCTAAATAGTTTTTTTCAGAGTCTTTTGTTTTTTAATTAAAAACGATTGAATCATTCCATCACCAGCAACGATGAACTATTTTAACCCTTCTTACGCGCCACCTAAATAAATTAGGGATAATGTAAATGAACGTTTTTGCTGTCAAGTTTGGTCAGCACTTAATTCGTCACAACAATAAACGTTTTTCAAACTATGGCTAGGAAATGGACATACCAGGATTGAGAAAGAAATCGGCTGCATTTGATAAACTGAAAAAAAAAAAACTAGAACACCGTGTTCCAGCAGAACTATATACACAACTGTCGTACAAAAATACGCTGTCGCTTGAGAATTAAAAAGACACATCAACAATGTTTATAATGTACACGTCTTCCTGCGTAAATAACAAAATAGGGTTTTTTTTTCGAACATTATTCTGAAGAACTGTTAGATTGAAAAAGTTAAAAACGAGTCTTGCTCCTACAAAAACTGTTCAAGGCCCAGCCTTGGGACAAAAAGTTCCTCTCAAGAAATACCACAGTTTAGTGAAATTTAAGTTTGTCGTTTTATCAAACCATTCATGCTGTAAATCCTCACACAAAAAACATCGACATATTCAATAGTAATAAAAAAAATGTTAAACACGCTAAGATAACCAAAAATAAACAACTAAAATAATTCAAAAGAAGCATTATCCAATTAAGAGAAAGTCAAGTCAAACCATGGTAGGGCTGGTCAACAATAGAAGTGTACAATGGATGACAAGAAATTCAATGTAAGGGTTTTGTGGGGAGTGAGAACAAAAAGAATTTGATCCCATAGGAAAATAATCCTGGTCGCCGGAACAAATTCTGATGATTGTAATCGGCAGAAAGCAATCAAGAATTTCAAATTTCTAAAGAACTTCTTATGCTAATGACCACTCAGCCATGGATGCTTAACTTTGCAAATCTTGCAAACACACTGGAAATATTAGGCAGAAAATGCTAAAATTTAAAGGTGACTATGAAAGCAAACACAAAACACAATATTTCCCCCTACATTATAATAAATGTCAGAATGAAACTTGTTGAGAAATGTTGTGCACAATCTCCAGTTCAACAAATTGCTAGCACTTAACCAGCTTGCCATGTAAATACAAAAAGGAAATAATTTCACAGCACGTTGCCAACTAAAAGTGAAACCTAAGTAAACGATTAATAAACTGAACAGTCTGAAAACAATCTACACCAGTACAGCTAACAACAAATAAACAAATTTATGACACCATGATGACCCCACCCTTACATGAATAGCAAACATTATACTTGGGTCTGTGGAGCGGGATGTCAGACAGCCTGCCGCTCACTACCTGTGTCAGGATTAGCTGCTTGGACTTTATATTACTGAGAAGTACCACTTTTGCTTGTACGGGTCAGTGGTCTAAATGTTAAATGAGGTTAGAGAATTATGAGCTAATGACTTCCTTATCATGGCTTCAGGTATAATACATTGTAATAAGACTTGTGTTGCAATTAAAATGGCTATTTATAACACCTTCTGTAATCTTTTCAGACTTACGAGGAGTCCTTACCACACACTCCTGGTGGCTTGAACTAAGCAGATTGTTAGAGAACCATTCACTAATTCAGGTTTCAGTAACATCATTTAAAAGACAGTTATAGCAGAACTCGCAGCACATGTAGCATAGCCCCATAATTATACAAAATAGTAGTAGTAACCCATCAAGCCGGAATAATTTGGACTTATGACTGTATGGGTGTCCATACAAGGTGCAACATTTAGCATTGCGCGGTCAACTGTGCCACAGGCACGCCAATGCCATGGCTTTAGTATTGTCAAGTGGGCATTTCACAATGCACGTGTTACACTTGTACATAGCTGAGGAGACTCTGGGTTCGAGATGAATTTAGTGGATGGTATGTTAAGCATGCACAGCCGAAAGCCTTGCAGGCTCATCCTCGCAATGGTATGCAGGAGAAAAAAAATGCGAGCTCCACTTTTAAGCTTGGCTAAATCTATATATTATTCTCTCACCTATGCTGACGATATCCCTCAATTGAGTGATGCCACAACCAACATGAATGACAGTAATACTTGAAACAAGATTCTTCACGGCAGAAGAATGGACCAGTGGTTGTGTGACAAATGTCACACATTGAATCCTCCAAATATGGATCAACTTGCACCTAATTAACCACAATAAACAAAAAATTGAATCAGTAACTTAAAATAACAATAGCTGATTTCTGATAATTAATAAATACTATGAATAAAATTAAATATGAAAGACAGCTTATCAAGTTATAAATAGTCACAAAGTAACATGAAATTTTACAACTGGAATCTAACATTATTCACAATTTGTTGATTGTTTTTACTTTGCAAACAGAAACCTGGACTGTGCTTTGTTCTATGGTAAAGCACACAGGAAGCAGCCAGAGCAGGAGAAAACGAACACAATGTGAGCTAGCCACCATGGACCTCAGCATGACTGCAGTCGCTCTGACACTATCATGATTTGTAAGAATTTAACATTTATGCCAGTTTGGTTATATTTTTCATCATGATTCCTGTTTTGTTTTGTTCTTGAACACTAAACTATAATAGCTGCGTTTTATTTATATTACCATACAAGAACTAACAATCTAACAGAGCATGAAAACCTTCAAAACTCACAACTGTCCATTCCTTTTTCTCTTTGAGGATTTTTGTTTCTGCTCACATTATTATAACACCAATTAGTATTCCAACACTTGGCATGTTTACAAACTTTTGCTTTGTTCTTCTGGCTTTGGTTACTACACTTGCCAGCTCACTAATTGTTCAGAAATTTAACTTTCAATTAACAAAAAAAAGCTAGATAGAAGCCCGGGAAATGATTGGACATTAGTACAAATTAGCAGATGGCATGACAGCTAGCTCAGCTCCATGTTTTAATGTACTCTGAGAGAGCATGCTCTTTCAACCAATGACAGTGTACGTTATTTCCAAACTTTATTGAGGGTCCCCTGTACCCTTTTTGTTAAACTCAGTCACATAAAAATATTAAGACTTTTCACACATCATGAATAATATCCTAAATTCTTTCACATTCTTGTGAGATTCGAGACGATCACATTTCACATTGAAATTAAAAAAACAAAGTCACAAGTCAATTTGTTACTTTTTCTAGTTGACCAGTCTTACAACAGACGAGGATGTAATTTCTAATCTCATTTGCTCAAGAACCATTTGTGGTTAGTCTATGACTTTTTAATTGGTCCTTTAATGAAGTCCACATACAGTCAAAAACCCTGGTCAAAATCTAACTAGGGCCATTTGTACAAAATCAAATCAATAAAATCTGTGGAAATTCATCATACCAAACAAAATGGATCACAAATCACATTAAAATTACATTTAAATAAAAAAATTTGTTCCCTTGGACAAGAAAAGACCTTATCTTCAATCATGACTCAACAATCGAAAAAAAAAAATCAAATCAGGAATCACAAAAGAATTGCCTTATTATGCTTCATGTAAAAAGTGTACGGGACCCACTTTATGACAAAAACATAGCTAAGAGGAGCAAAACTTTTAATTAAAACTGAGTACCTTTTTCACAAATTTGGGTGTCTCTATTTCAACAAATCCTGAACGCACAGCTTCCAGAAAGCTCTTCTGGTTGTTAAAGGTAATGCGACCAGAACCTAGGATGTCAAAAAAGTTTATTTCAGTAAATGAAGTTGAACCGAAGTGCATTAAGAACCTTATGACAAGTTTTGTCTGACCCAGCCAATGCATGGAGCTTTGTAATTTTCTGCTATGGTAGTTATAAGTTAAAGGCATTTTTTTTGCCAAGATTCCTTCTGATCAGTAAGTTCTTTAAGAGATGGTCACTATCCTTGTCCAGCGAGAAAAAGACGAATGCAGTTTCTAAAATCTTAGCAAGTTGCTCCTGTGACTTATATTTTGGTAAAAGTTTACAGACTGAAGTGGGTGTTTAAGACTGAGACAAAACTGAGTCACTTTATAGCTACAGCTTACCAATAGGATAGCGATGTTTATCAGTATCAATACCAGCATAAACAACTCCACCAAACAGCTCATTCATAATATAAGCCAGGCCCTCTGCAATAAAAGAGTAAAAAAAATCTTTAACTTAAAATGGTTCATCACTGGAATTTCAAGTATGCTAATCTAAAATGTCTTTCCTCAATCACATGGAGAAAAACACTACTACATGACAATTTAAAGCCTCTACTTCTATACTTCTGAGGGTTCAACTGAATTTGAAGACAAGATGGGATGTTTAGACTGAGAGAGATTTATAGGAAGTTGGGGCTTAGATGAAGAAATCAGTTAAGAATATGGTTTGGCTACAACCCTCACCTGCATTAAGCATACCATGCAGTCCTCCTACAAACACTGTCCAACTGGTGTCCAAGCGTTGATGAGGGCCACGTACATAGTTGGTGTCAGACAAGACCCAAGGAATCACCTGTACCTAAAGCACAAACAGTTCCAATACTGCATCTAGGAAGTTGGTTTAACTTGACAACTGAACTACCAAATCCTAATAACTAAGGCTACACTACAAATGTTAGGTGTGTCATAACATATAGTGCACATGTCAGGTGATTACCAGATACATGGTTCGTACAACTTCAGACAAACAAAATTCTAGGACTTTTCAAGGACTTTTCAAGGTCAAAAAACGGTTTTCAAGGACTAAGTTTTATTCATAAATCTAAACCATTTGCGATTGAATACACATTTGCCCATCCCTCATTAAAATGAAAACAAAGGGAAATAAAAAATTCATTGACCAAAACATAGCCAAACCACTACATGTTTATGTTGCCCCTTAAAACAAAAGCACATGGTGGACTTCCCCACATCGGAGGCCTTGCGCATAAAATTGAGGCAGACATCCAACTTTGCCTCATGTACCTCTCAGGTTTTATACGATACTGACCATTTTTGCTTTTTGGTAGTTACTAGTGGACAAATTTTCCATAGCAAAATCATTTAATTTATCAGAAAAGCGATAAGGCACACAGAAGTTGTTAAATTTCAAGGACTTCTCATGACCTAAAGAAATCAAGTACTTTTCAAGGAGTTTTCAAGATGACCATTAAAATTCAAGACCTTTTCAAGATTGTATGAACCATGCAGATATTATGCCTGTTCACTGCTGACAAAAGTTTTTATGCTTTGTCTTAAAGTTTTGAGGTGGGGAATTGGAAACACTGAATACTTTGTTGGGATAGGGGGTGCTTTAATTCCCTCTGGAATGAATATTCTCCAGTACAACAAAATACAAAACCATCAGCAATTATCACCTCTTTGCACCTCATACGTCGACTGGAGATCTTGAAGTACCAGTCTCCACCATTGCAGAAGTCATGAGTACATGATGCCAATAAAGCTTTCACTGACTTTTCAGAATCAAAGATTAAATACACATATCCTGAGAATTACATCAGAGAAAAAAATCAACCGCAATAAGGATTCTTTAACCTTCCCTTCTGGTTTCTTAAAAACATAAAAGTGGCATTTCTTATTTTCATTTAAATAACACTTTTTAAATTCAACTGATTCTGTCTAAACAACCGTTGTGTAAATTTTATTACCATTAATCTGAGTACATCCAAATATCACTACATTCAAATAAAGCAATTAAATAAATGTGCATCTGCTTCATTCAAAGTATTTAGATCAAAAGGTTGTCATGCATTAGATTGGTCTGAATTCTCATTGACAATAACTTAACAAAAATGATCTCTATGGTCAATCTTCACTGTAACTCCCAGAGGTTAAACAGCCAATATATTGGTCCCATTTCCTACTTTGACTGTTATGGCAGCAAACAGTTACCTTTTGGTGGGTGGTGCAGATGCCGGCCATCGGCCTTCCCTGGCCACTCCACCTTCACTGAGCCAAAAGGTTTGAAGGACATCACAAGAGATGCTGCACAGCAGTGAAAAGTTGCATTAATAATCATTTGGAAGGAAATTATTCACACACAAGTGCACAAACAACAAATTACAAGTCATTAGATACAATGAAATATATGAAGTTCATATATTTTGTACTGCGGTATTAGATACATATGATTTTCGCTATTGCTTAAATAGCGCTATCTACTGCGAGGATCGTGCATCATATGTACAAGTCATTAATTATGCTTAAATAGAAAATCATACCACGAAAAGAATATGATGAAATTCAATGTGCGATTTGGCAAGTCGAGGGTTAACGATTATGTCATTCATACAGAAATAACAAAATCAACAACAACTGCAACTGAGTCATTACACATCCATGCAGTAGCACCTTTGCCATGCAAGGGGCCCACACTTCATTGGTCGAAGTTTTGTCTGTGCTTTACAATTTGGTCTTGATACAGCTAAAGTTTCAGACAGCTAGCTGTAAAGTAGCTCAGTGTGAAAAAAAAATCACAAAATTGCACATTTTCAACTGGTGTAAAAATGGTTTAGTATAAGTTGACTATAGCCACACAAAATTGTTACAAATCATCAGTTCTGTTCACTTGATAACTTGAATAAACACAAAGTAATGGAACCTTCTGTGATATCCCAAGGAACACCTCCTAAGAACACTTTTGTCGAGTAGCTTGGATTCTTGTAATTTCGGCGAGGTAACTGGCCTGACCACTTCTTCATATTGCCTTTACTGAAGTCTGCACCTTGTTAAGAAAATTACACAAGTGTCATTAGGCCAGAAAAACAATAGGCTGCATTCCAATTAAAGGTAATACTGTATTTTTGCGAGGTGCTCTCACATGCACTAGTGTGTATTACAAACCTACAGACTCCCATAATTACTTGTTATATTTGTCTTCGCATCCATCTCACGTTAAGAATTCCATTCCTTTTTCTCAGTTTCTAAGACTTCTTCGTTTATGTAGTGATGACTCTGATTTCCACCACAAATCAGAGTCAATGTGCCAGTTCTTCGATAAACGTGGTTACCCTGTTTCCGTCGTTCAAGTGGGTTACCACCGCGCTCAACTCATTGATTGACATTCAGCACTACAAACGTCGCACAAGGAAGATTCCGACCGCATTCCATTCACTCTCACGTTTCACCCTCACAACCACTCAGTTAAATCCATCATTCTTAAAAACTTTAAATTACTTCAAAACGATCCAGAGACAAGCACTATCTTTTCGCAGCCTCCGCTCATTTCATTCAAACCCGACAAAAACAAAGGCAATTTTTTGGTCAGAAGTTCTTTTCAGACTAATGACCAACCAGGCACTTTTAAATGCACTCGTGCACAATGCAAAACGTGTCCTTTCATTCACAACACTGATAAAATATCGGGACCTAAACGATCCATTAAGATCGCCCATCACTTCACATGCACCTCCCCCAATGTAATCTATTGCATAACTTGCACTTATTGCAAAGAGATATACATCGGCAAAACAGGCAGAAGACTAGGTGACCAATTCCAAGAACACCTTTGACACGTGGAAAGGAATGACAAGGACACATCGAAACCAGTTGCTAGACATTTTAATTTACCTAATCATTCTAAGCAACATATGGCAATCTGCGGTCTTTCCTTGCACTTAGGTGGCACGGAAAGCCCTAAAAATCTTGAACAAAAGCTCATCTTTCAAACCAGCAGTCTAAATCCCACAGGGATCAACGAACGCTTTTCATTCCACTAATTTATTCATGTTTTTCTCGTTGCCATGTTCCCACCAATAACGTAGCTCCATTTTCTGCCTTTAAAAGCACACACAACCCACAATTCCTCTATTTGCTCCCACGAAGGGCTAACGCTCGAAACATCAGCTTTTGTAATCGTTACGGTGGCCAATTTACCATTTCAACTTTGTTGATATATCCAAATTATTTCGTTACTCCCACCAACTCAGCCCCAAACAGTTTCTTTCGAAACTATCAGCCTTTATTCATTTGCTCTCAGATGGCTCCCTGTATGCTAAACAGCTACCTTTCCTTTGGATAAACAAGGATTAATATTTGAAACATAAAAATTTTCAGCTTATTCTTTTGCCCAACCAATCTATGTCCTTGGGAATGCTCCAGAAGGTCAATTTTAATCAGGGGAAAAACTTTTAAATGGCAACTGATGACAACTGACCTGAGTTGGTTAGACACAATATATTTAATTGCTTCACCTGATAATAGCTGTGGAAGTCTTTGGTGCTGAAAGTAGTCCATACTTGATGGATCATTCCACATTCCAAACAATGGATTGATACCAGTCCACCTTGGATCAGTGAACAAGCTGCTCACTGTGGGTGCCACCATCTCAGCTTGTTGCTGTAACATACCAGGCGGTAACCCAATCTGCCTTGGCTGACAACGAGGGAAAACAGAACTGCGGTATGAAGGCCTCATAGGACTAATACTAGCTTCAGAGTCCACAGGAGACAGAGGAGAGAATGGGAAGGCTCCATATGGAGAAAAGGCACCCATAGCAGAGGGAGAAAGGCTATCTGGTGGGGTATGTAATCCAAAGTGAGTGCTACCAGCCATAAAGTTACCCTGAAATTAAGAAAATTATTCTTATTGATAACCTCAGTCTGTAAATATGAAAATTAACTCTTAACTAAGCCTAAACTTGTAGTTATTGAGACATCTGGTTCAAGCTACAGAGCCAAGAATTAAATCCAGGCATGGGGTATGAAAAGGACTCCCTGTGCATGCTTATATTTTTCTTTCCTCTTTTTCTACAATGACACTTAATTTTCAGAGGCTTGCCAGTTTGAATAGTATCATGTGTGTTTTTCTTCATCCATGTTTAGGAGACAAAATCTGTACAATTTGCACCATGAAAAATTGTGTTTGTGTAGCTGACAAATTTTTCCTTAGAAAAAAAAAACAAACCAAAGCAGCAGCTGAGTCAAGAATTTATTTCTCAGTTTGGCTCAATTCCAAAATCTGTACTACAAGTCTATTGTATCTGCCTGTAAGATTTTTAGGCATAATTATCAACAAAAATCTGAGACAAAACTACTCGGGAAAGGTATTCCGATTGTAACACATAGAACGTTGACACAGAATCTGGCTCACTCTGGTTAACTTGGAAAATTAATTTTAATGGATAGAAGTAAAAAAAAGAAACTGCAATTTAAAAAACTACAAAAAAAAACAAGCATGCACTTCATAGCCAAAATTGGAAACTAATGCAGACTGGAAAGAGGACAGAGGGTCAAAGAGATCAACACGCAGCCATAGCTTTCACTCAGAAGAAAGTAAAAATGTTTATACAGTTACCATGAAGAGTTCGCCTGTTCTCAGATCATCCATATGTAATGGGCTGGGTGATCTAGAGTCTGGAGGTGTTGGCTGGAAACCTGGGTAACTTACGAACGGTCCACAGGCTGTAGCTTGAGATGTTGGTTGAGGCGAAAACAAACTTCTACCCGCCGAGTCTGTCAAAACAATAAAGCAGAGCTTTCTGCGTTACATTCAGCTCCTAAATATGTGTTTCACGTGTTTCACATGAAATCAAATGAACCAGAACAGATTTCAGGAAGTTCACTTACTAGAATCCAACAAGGCATTGATTCGAGTCAAGATGGAAGTCTTATCCTCGGGTGCATTCTGTTAAGAGTAAAATTAAGATGACATCCGAGATCAGAGAAACTTATTGAAATGACTGGAGTAAATGGAAGGCCGGCCGAAGCACTAAAAAAAAGACAGCGATTTTTCCTTTGTACAATTGTTGTCATCTACCTCGCAGCACAATTAACATGAAAATATTCGGGACAATTGCAAGACTGGACATTGAATTCAGTCAGGGTTCACTTTCGAACGACGACAACAAAACGAACGCTGCAGCATTCACTCTATTAAGTTAATGTACGCTTCTTTAACGTTATTTTAGTTCTGGGGTTGGAAAAACAAGTTAAATGAATAACGCTTTAACCGGAAAGAGTTTCTTCCGCACCTGGGCACAATCTGATGACAACTGCTGACACAAGCTATTTTCGACTGATAGTTGCACATTTCGGCTAACATCAACAAATATTCAAACAACAAACGAGTAAAATAAGCATTCAGAGATTTGAACTTACCTCCTTACTCATGACTGAGAATGAAAGCGTTGTTTCTTCGCAAGACTGCCCTGTGTCGCTCTTCATCTTCGGAGTATTTGTATCGTTTCTCGTCAGGACGCTCCATCTGCACGTGGAATCTCTGGTTCTCGTGCAAGTCATCTTATTGGTCAATCAATTATGTTTATTGTTTTTCAACCAATTAGATAATCGCAAAAATGACAAGGCCAACCTTTCTCTAATTGTAACTTCCGTTTTAATTTTCTCAACTACATGTTTACTGTACACTTTTCATCGCGAAAAAACGAGCTTTTTACGAGATCACTTCTAATTTCCTATGTCTCGACGTCAAAAGTACATCTGGCAAAGCTGTTGGTCAATAAATCGCAAAGCAAAACAAAACACAATATTTTCCTCTCCTAAGCTAAATGGGATTTTTAATATATTTTCTCCTGGCCATCTCTTTTCTTTTGGGACATATCAATTTGATATCTTATTTCTTCTTGTTTATTCTATTTTATTTAAAACAGTTCGAATGTCCTGGGATTTGTTCGTTGATCCTGACAATGGACGCATGAAAAGCTCTCGGTGCAATATCCAGCCTAAGCCTGACTGCCAACCTGTCATTAAACTGCATTTAGGGAATCAAATGCTTCATCATGTCTGGGAATGATATTTATAACAATAATTTTCGTCTAATTTCAAATCTAAATACTGTTTCTGTGTGAACCCTGCTTGTCATTGACGGAACATCCACATATACTCAAGCGCACATCTGGGTACTTTTTTAAAATAAATTTTATTCATTTCCCCACATTTTCTTATATCTCAATCATAACAGAGACTAAATTTTTATCGTATTCCTAAAAGGTTCATCTATCTCAAACCTATCGAGGTATTACATTTTAAAAAAATTATAAGATTAGACGATGCACTCATGTTAACGATGCGGTATTGACCAGGTCTCAGCGCGTTTATTTGTGGTGTCTTCGCCGTCACGAAATGACGCGATGCTAGAAATGGGTTTTTCTTTGATTTTTGCCCTTCATTCATAATCACTGTTATGAATCCGCTTTCCTCGTGGGAATTACAACAGAGAACATTCTCTGACACGCAGGTGACGGGCACGCAAAAGTTGCTTTACCTTACGATAAACTTGTTACGAGGAATTTCATTATCTTCTCATATTTCTGGGTGAAAAAAAAAATTACCATCTACCTCATTCTATTCAGCCCTAAAAATATTTGTTTAACTTAATTCAGTTGCAAGGTGATATGACCCGTAGCGTGGGCAGGGGCCTGTGCCTAGCCGACTCAACGGCGAATTTCACTGTTGGAGAGATTGCTGTACATATGCGTTGTGGACAAAGCGCCTGATCTACACAGCTGGCAATATTTACAAAGTTGTCAAATCTTGTCAGAGGTTGTTGCTTGTTTTGTTTCGTTTTCTTTTTAAGAACTTTGCCCAAGCAAAGACCTGTGCAGGACATAAACAAACACCTTCGATCCATCTCCCTGACTCCAATCTTGTCAAAGGTAGCGGAGGAGTACGTTTTCGACACTTATGTTAAGCCCGCTGTCGTCTCAAAGATCGACCCACAGCAATTTGGAACGGTGCCTAAATCCAGCGCCACCTATGCATTAATTAGTATGATTCACTCTTGGGCGAAGTTAACGGATGGAAATGGATCGACTACGAGAGTTGTACTCTTTGACTTCCGGAAGGCATTTGATCTGATTGACCATCATGTTCTGGCGCGGAAGCGTTCCTCCTACGATATTTCAAGGTCGATTTTGTGCTGGATCATGGACTTTTTAGCGAACCGTAAGCAAAGGATAAAACTGAGCCGCGATTGCTTCTCGGAGTGGGAAGCTGTTCATGTAGGGGTACCACAGGGGACAAAATTGGGCCCCTAGCTGTTCCTTATCGTGATAAATAATCTTTCTGCAGCAGACACAATTCTGGAAATACGTTGATGACACCACTCTTGTGGAATCAGTATTGAAGAATGAGTCTAGCTACATGCAGTTACGTGTAAATGAACTTGTAAGACAGTCAGAAGTTGATGGTTTCCAATTCAATGAGTCTAAATGTAAAGAACTGAGAATATCATTCTCCAGATCAGGTAGTCTGTTTGATCATATTACTATTAATGACAAGCAAATCGAAGTTGTTTCATCCGCAAGGTTGTTAGGAGTGATAGTCTCGGACAACCTCAGGTGGAACGCACATGTAGAATCTATATGCAAAAAGGCTGCGAAGCGTCTGTACTTCCTAAAACAGCTAAAGCGCGCTAAAGTTCCATCTGAGGATATGCTACTTTTCTATACAACATGTATACGCCCTGTATTAGAATATGCGTGCCCAGTTTTTCATCATTCTTTGCCGCAATATCTGTCCAATGAAATGGAAAGGTTGCAAAAACGCGCGTTGCGGATGATTCAACCTGACTTATCCTACGCTGAGGCTCTAGTAGCTCTTGACATTGCGTCACTGTACGAGAGGAGGGAGATCTTGTGTGATGCTCTATTTGATCAGATTGTAAGGGACGAAAACCACAAGCTCCATGATCTACTGCCTCCACGCAACGAGTCCACCTATCGCACCCGCAGCCAGAGATACTTCAAGCTACCGATTTGTAAGACAAATAGGTTCAAAAACACATTTATCATGGCGAACA